AATGGTGAAAGCATGCGAAGTGTTACCATAGGTAAAGAGTTCTCTCTACGCCAGCTGCAAGCCCTTTCGATCGCCAATACTCAGCCTACAGATCTAATGATCGGTTTTTTACATATTAGGACTCAATGGTTCACGGGGTTGACCTTAAATATGCCAATTAGTTGATGTAGATTATATTTTAAGTTACGAAATCGGATATAAAGTTATACTTTCAAGGAAATTTTTTTTCCATCTAATTTAAATTTCGTATCCTCAAAATAAAGGGGATAGCAGCAATCTGGGAAGTATGCTTCTAATAGTCTGGTAAGGAGAGCGGTCCAAACGTTGGATCCCTTAATGTTTACTTTTTTACTTTATGCGTATATACATATATTGCACATGTTTCAAGAATTTAAGTGAATTGAAAATTTTTTGCACATAATTAGAAAATTCGTTTATTAAAAAATAATTTCACGCAAAATTTTTTTTTATTGTTACTTAATAGCAATCTAAAAATTTTTGAATTACAAGATATACGAGTTTCCTTACATAACTTTAAAATATGCAATTTTAAATTGCAAAATTTCAGCGAAATCGGTCGAAGAGTTCTTGAGAAATCGAATTTCAAAAAGTCGTATATTTAAAATTAGATTTTTTAGGAATTATTCGACGATTTCACTCAAATTTTGCTTTTCAATTTTCAAAACAAAATGGGATGATAATCGGTTTTGAAAAAAAATTTGAAAAAGGAAATTTTAAAAGGAAATTCATTTTTTTTTTTAGCTAAATCTATATAATTGATAGGAAATTTTGATATTCACTTTAGACATTTTGAAAGAATTAACATATTTATTATAAGAAATGGTATTCATTAACCCAATGCCAGAATAACAGATCTTTTCTCCTGCTGTCTGATCCCTGGAGCAAGTGCGAGAAACTTTCAAGCTAAAGGTGATATTGAAAAAAATTTGGCGGCTCTTAATATACAATGTATATTAACATAAATAGGTAGAGCTATATTATAATCACTTATAAGAAAGAAATATACTTAATGTCCATATCTAATAAATTTTAGGTGAGCCGTCCCCTCAGCAGAGGATCAAAATTGCGATGGCATGTCTTCAGATCATCCTCAGGGATGTTTCCCAGACCGTCACCAATAGCCCATTGAGCAGCTCTAGTGCGACGTAAATAAAGTACCTACTTGCTAGTCACGTTTTTATCTTAATGGACCGTGCAAAGCTAAGCACAGGTGGCGCTAGGGGTTAAAACTCGACATAAGACTTCCAAGTTACTACTTCCGATTGATTTTTACGCCTAAGCTCGAAGAAGTACACCATCCAAAATTAATAAGCTTGTAGTGTTTACAATGTTGTAGTTGCTGTAGTTCATTTACGTCGCACTAGAGCTGCACAATGGGCTATTGGCGACGTTCTGGGAAACATCCCTGAGGATGATCCGAAGTTATGCCATCACAATTTTGATCCTCTGCAGAGGGGATGGCATCCTCCCTTCGGTAGCCCAAAGACCTACTCGCGAAGTCGAGCACTTTACGGCAGAACAGTTTACCGAGGATCAATACCGCACACCTTCGGTCCCTACGCAGACTGATCCAAGTGGTCACCCACCTACACATCGGTATATTGTGTTAGCCCTAGAGTGAAGAGAAGCTACCTTCCCCGAAATGCGCTATTCTTGTTTCCATAGCTGCAGACCACCTCCGACTTTGTGGTTAGGGGGGTTCTTACCGTAGACAAGCTATAAGAAGAGTGTTATTCTTTACATTCAGTCAACCTTCCACATAAAAACTATTATTTTTGACTGATTGTATATCTTCTCTTATCGCTTAATACCTGTGTAATATTTTGCACAGATCAAATCTCTTTACGAAAACTTTAAAATTTATTCTTTTAAAATTGAAAGTAACAAGGATGAAAAAAAAAGAGAAGATACTATTCGTAATTGTGGGCGAAATATATATTTGTGGGCGATGGTTAGTGTTGCTCAAGTAACACTTCAAATTAAAGATTTATGAGAAAAATCAGTTATGGTGTTGTGACATTTTCTTGCATCCCTGAAATCAAGAACTTGATTTTTTTTTCTCTATTTCACAGAGAATTTGAAATCAAAAATCTCCAAGCATACTTAATTATTGCTGGGGGATATTTCCGTATCGTGATCTGTCGCGCCAACTATAATCGCCAAATAGATTTTAAACTTGCAAATTTAAAAAAAAAAAAAAGTGTAGATGTTTGTACGGGGTGGCTACCAGTTAGTCATACCTTTTGAGTTGGTTCCTTTTTGCGATGCTTTTTTTTAGTTTCTCGCGAGGGCCACTTCCCGGATGTTCTCAAGACTTCGATTATTCTGCCACAGATAAGGAAATCTCCCCCTTTAATGAGCTAGCTTTAAAAAAAAATTTTAATCATTGTTACTTTAATAAACATAAAACAATTTGCAAAACAAAATACTTTTTGCTTAATTTTTTGTCTGGACAATAATTTAAAAAAAATTGTATGAAACTTCATACATATAAAATAACTTCTAAAAATATTGCAATAAATGTCATTACAGATATGTTCATGGTTTAAAGACATACAATTTCAATAATATAAAAAGGTGCAGTAAGAAGGTTCTTGTTTTCGATGTTCTGCATCGTTTTTAACCCTATCTGAATCAAAATTTTCACCAAAAGTTGAAGAAATGTTAAAAAGGTTCGAATAAGCTCCTTCCTTGATATTTAAAATTTCGGCGTATTATTTGAGTAGCGAATTCTGTATAGGTATACATTATTAATAATATTATGCATGGATCTATTATTAATTAAAGGTACTAAATGAAGAACACTGAAATTTCATACTTCATTATAAAATTAAACTTATTGCTTGGAATCTATATTTTCGGTTAAGGGGCCGTTCAAAAAGTATGTTCACAAAAATTGAGAAATTTTAACCCCCCCCCCTTAGAGTACGTACATTTTATTAGTCTACCCCCCTTTTTCATAAAAATTAAAATAATTATGCATTAAATAAAATTAAATATTTATTTAATATAATTTATTAATTTTAATTATTTAAACAATAACACCCAACTTTGCACGTACTTTTTATAATACCTCCCCCCCTCCCCATCATACAAAACCGTACAAAATAGCAAATCCCCTCCCCCCCTTCGGGATGTACGTACTTTTTCAACGGCCCCTAAATAACAACTAGCCCTTGATGCCATTTTAGCATTCTGCATTTGTGCCGATAAAAGTTTTTTTTCCCCCACAGCATTTTAGATTTGAGTCAAACAGCAAAATTTCTTAACTCTTGTTAGTTATATTATAAAAAAATTATTTTTTAAGCTGATCATTATTAGATTCATAAATTTTATTACTCAATCGGAAGACCATAAACTTGACTATGAAATCGTAATAATTACGTAATAGTATACGTAGTTACGTAATAATTACGTGATCACCCCCCTCTATCAGTACAAATTTATTTAATTATAGGCGTACATATTTTTTCAAAAAAAAAAATTACAATAGACTTTATATAGATTTAAAAATTCGGTATAAAACTGAATTATGTTATGTGAAAACATTTATTTTTTTTTTAAAAAAAGACTGTGAATATGTAAATAATAGAAACTTTAAAGCACTACACTACATTTTATTTGTTTAAATTTAAGCTTTTTCACAGTAATTACTAGAAATTATTTAAATAATTATAATTTTTAGTTTCCTATATTTTATTCAGTTCCTTCATCAGGNTAGCCCTTGATGCCATTTTAACATTCTGCATTTGTGCCGATAAAATTTTTTTTTCCCCCACAGCATTTCAGATTTGAGTTTACTTTTAAAAGGAGAATAACTTGATAAGATTTCTTGGCCTTTTTTTAATTTCTTGTTTCGATAGTTTTTGTTTTTTGATATAATAATTTTAGGAAAAAAATTTATAGTAGATTAGTTGCAAACAGCATAATTTCTTTACTCTTGTTAGTTATATTATAAAAAAAATTATTTTTTAAGCTGATTATTATTAGATTCATAAATTTTATTACTCAATCGTAAGATCATAGACTTGACTTTGAAATTGTAATAATTACGTAATAGTTGGCACCGCTCTATCAGTACAAATTTATTTAATTATAGGTGTACATATTTCTTCAAAAGAAAAATATTACAATTGAGATTATATAGATTTAAAAATTCTGTATAAAACTGAATTATGTTATGCGAAAACATTTATTTTTTTAAAAAAAAGACGGTGAATATGTAAATAATAGAAACTTTAAAGCACTACACTACATTTTATTTGTTTAAATTTAAGCTTTTTCACAGTAATTACTAGAAATTATTTAAATAATTATAATTTTTAGTTTCCTATATTTTATTCAGTTCCTTCACCAGGAGTTGGCTCTTGACTCCGCCTTCATCATGTGGTATGCGACGATGATATTTCGCTCTTTTTGAGGATGTGAACAATCTTGAACAAGGTTGCTATTTGGCGATTGTATGACAAAAATGCTTATTTCGCAATCTTTATGTGTATTTCTTTAACATTAAATATTTCATAAATTTGATATTTCTCTCTTTTGGGTGAATAGTTTGTCCTTTTTGAGATATTTTGCTGCAATATATTTAATTAGCTAGAATAACGAAAGGTATAATACCAGATGAATTAGCGAGGTAAGTGACTGAAAAATAATTAACTGTTTGCGTTTGACGCACATTAAGAATTGTCTCAATTTCACGTGCGGAGACGTTATTCCTCTTACTCCTTGCACTGAAATGAACTCTTCGTCAGAGGAGGTGGAGCCAAGTGCCAACTCTTGGTGAAGGAACTATAGTTGGCATATTCTACGAGCGTTCTGGAGGAAATCCCAACCCTTGAAGATATCTAAAATGCACATCGTTTATAGCTAAATAAACCAATTTAAAAAAAAAAAGAGTCATTCTAAAACTGAGATAAATAGATAAGCTTTATTAAAAAACAAATTAATATATAATATGTATGCATAGATGTACGTTTATATATATATGTATTTATGTGTATATATATATATGTATATATATATATATATACATATATATAAATATAAGATTTTTGGAGTGTTATAACCTGAAATAGAAGAGTCAGTGGTTGTTTAACTCTATAGAATGTTGATTGTCCAAAAAAGTCCAAATTTCGCTTGATATGAAAGAGTGAGTAAAAACAAATCTAAATTGACTAGACGAGAATTCTTTTTGTTACAAAATGTTGCAGTAGTAAAAATTCAACCAATGCTGCTTTCATCTAAAGATTTGCACTTTTTTAGCAAGCTTTGCATGGACAGTTTCATATGGCGATTGAGGTCAATATAATCTTCTAAAGCGTCATTTACTATTTCTAAAAACATGGACGGCCAGAGCCGCTGAAAGACTAAACGCTTCTTCCGAATCTCCTCCACGCACTTCATGTTCTTCTCAAAAACTTTTGTGGCGGTCATTTTACATCCAGGTAAAGAATACTAGAACACAGAAAGAAAAAACAATCATTAGGTACTCTGCATCATGTTTTATACCACTGATTCTCCACCAGATTCTTAAAGCATGCCGCCATATTTTAGAACTGATGTAGTAAAAATTATAATGTTTTTTTCTTTACTACGAGTAAAGTTTACATTAAAGAGAAGTATATATATATATAAGGGAGAGGGGGCACATATGAACATGGTATGTTTTACTAATATAATTTGAAATAAAAAATCTTGAAAAATTTTCAATTGACGGCAATACTAGTCCTACCTCTCTGCAAAACTTTCAGAACAATGCTCTATTTTGTTGTACTATTTTGACAATTTCTTTGTATCAGCTGGTGTTGTATATACTTTTATCACTCGCTTCTTCAAGTGAAAACACAGTGTAAATCAACTAATAAGCTAAAATTAACTATTGCAGACCATTATATAACATTCAGGTAAATTTATGACAGTTATTATTTCTTTTACTGAATTAAAAATTCTTTATTTTTCAAGTAAGGTTTAAGAAAGATGATGGGGCACTTGTGAACAAAACATGTGGGGCAGATGTGAACAGTTCTCATGTGCCCCTACATAGTATTAAGATTATTATCCTCATGATATTATATGTTTAAAAAATATGTATGTGTTTAAAATTATTATTATTTACTTTTCCATAATTGATTAATTAATTGCTAATTTTTTCTTTTAAAAATTTATGATCACTAATGGCCATTAGTAAATTAAAAGTTTACTAATAGTCAAGCAGAAAATGCTGACAATGATCTTAACAGTAGCTCCATCAGTACTTGTCCTATACCCCAGAATCAATCCGACCATTTCCAAGAGAAGTAAGTGAAGTAACTTAAAGAAACGAAAACGCGAAAAGGAAAAATCACGCATATTAACTGATACACCTGAGATAGATAGAATTGCTAAAGCTAAAAATTAAAAGATAGAAAAAATGAAAAAAAAAAAAGCATTAAAGAGTATCAGAGAAAAAAGAAAAAGGCCCATTACAACTCCTGAGGAACATGAAGTTGCGAAAAATCCAATTGACGAAATTAACCCAATAAATTCATATAAACAAATAAACCCAATAAATTCACATAAACAAATAAACCCAATAAATTCACATAAAGAAATAAACCCAATAAATTCACATAGTAAACTACAACCCCATCAATATAATGTGTATCTAAATCTGTTATATTTAAGATTTTTTTCTCTTAAATATGATGATTGCTTTGTGTTTTTAATATTGTTCATATGTGCCCCAGGCAAGTTCACATGTGCCCCTCATAGGGGCACATGTGAACAATTGAAGTCATTTTTCTAAAATATCATAAAGTAAAGAAATATTTTATTGAAAAATCTCAAAAAATTTCATAAGACAAAGAAAAGACTATTTAAACATATAGACTTCTTTACTGTGAGAAATTGATTATATTTTTGGAAAAATGAAGAAATAAAAAAAATTGTCACATGTGCCCCCCTCTCCCCTATACAGTAAAACCTCGCTACAACAATATTTTGGGGAATAAATAAATATATTGTTGCAGAGGGATACATTGTTATATCAAGGGCCTACACACTTTGGGGACACAATGCAATATTTTTTTAAAAATTTAATGTTAAATATGTATTAACTTGGATAGTGATGATTGGGTATAATATAGCCTACGTCACAGGTTGTGTTGTTCCTACTAAATTTAACCCATGAACGGCATTTTCTGTGAGTCTAACTTCAAGCCGCAAATAAACAAACGAAGTGTTCGATCGTTTAAATAGCTGCTCGCCAGATTTTATTGCATTATAAAGAAAAGTTATTGAAACTAAATACAACTAAATAAACAACAACAACTAAAACAAATAACAACAACTACTAATAACAATAACTAAATAAACAACAACTAAATTCCATTCGTTTAGCATTGCGTCATATGTTGTTCCTACTAAATCGAAGTAGTTGTGTTTTTTTCATATTATACCCAATTATGGTTAAATATTAAAAACAATTGAAATAAATTTAGAAAATAAGTTCATAACATACCTGAAAACCGTTTTTAGTGAAAATAATCTGATATTTTTGCTTGTTTATTCATTTTTTTTTACTGTCAAGTCAGCCAACAAAGAATGCATTGAATCCAAAGCAGGAAAATGATGTTCGTTTGTAAATGAATTCCCCCCCACCACCAAACGGTTAAAACACCTACAAAGTAATCATTGAGTTCAAAGCACGGAAATGATTTTCGCTTGTGAATGGCGCTTCACCCACTCTCTACAGGAAAAATTCTCTTTCAGGTGTTAATGTGATGCTTGTGGTCATTTGTGACTCATGATTAGCTTTTAACACGAAGGAAATGAATCAGACAGGAATGTAACACTTGTGACTTCTTTAGAGATGAGGGAGGAGATTCTAAAAATGGAAGCTCTTGGGGTAGTGGTCAACAGTGAGTCTTGTCTTGTCAAAAAAAAAAAAAAAAAAAAAAAAAAAAAAAAAAAAAGGAAAAATGGCAAAAGATGATAAAATTAGATTTGTTAGATTATTTGAAAACTAATAATAAATGGCGACAATAAGGTTGAAATTTGTAAAAAAAAAAATAGTTTTACAGGGATTAGTTGCTTTAGAGAATATCGTAATATCGAGAAGTGTATGACTTAAATTCATATGCAAGTTCGTCGGGACCACGAAACACTATTGTAATAAAGGGAGTTATTGCTGTATTGGATATCGTAGTAGTAAAAATTCACTGTATATATAATACTATATATATATATACTTTTTATAATTTTTCCATGATTTAATGGAGTGAACATCTTTGTCGGCAATAGTCCTGGCTCTGACAATGTCCGAATGTTAAAATAAGTAGGAAATTTAATGACTATTAAAATTATTAATTATGAAAAGAAAGCAAGCTAAACATTAACTTACAAAATGAAATAAAAGCTAGCAATTCAAATAAGCTATGTAACGAATAGGTATAAAAACAAATTAACTAAGTATAACTAACAAACAAAAACAAGCTAACAATTAATAATTAGCAAAATTAAAAAAAACAAGTTAATAAGGAAACACAAAAAATAAAATTATTGTAAAAAACTAACAATTAATAACTATAAACAAACAAGCTAATAACTAATTATAAGCACAAAAAAAAAGAAATATTAAGCAATAAGAGGAAAAGAAGGCTACTACACAATTTGTAAGAGCTAATTAATCCCTTAATACACGTGTTTTTGTAGTACATATTTTACTTTACATTAAAAATTATTATTATAAACTAAGAGATGCCAACTTGCTCCGGACAGCAAATATATATTTTAAAGTGGTAGTTTATCAATGTATTATTTTATCTTTATCGCCANAATTTAGTAGATTTTTATTCCCCACTATTTCTAAATAATTCTTAGGCTTATATAATTCACCACTTTATAGTTCTTATGTCATGCTGTATCTCTTAAAAAAACAGGCAAAAATTGTCAAATATTTACATAATTTACTTTGTAGTTATTTACCGTTTTTTAAAAATTATTTTGGCTTGTCCGGAGCAGTTGGCATCTCTATAAACTATTTTACACTGTGTATTATAGGTTAAGTAAACAACTTTTAAACTTATTATTGTCTTTGTGCGCCGTCAAATTTCAAAATCGTTAAAAGTGGGCCGCGACAAAAAAAGGTTGAGAATCACTGTTTTATATATACACAGGGGTTGGACAAAATAATGGAAACACTTAGATACTAACACATTTTTTGATATTTTTCAAAAATTACTTAGAGAATCATTTTTGTATATTTAGAAGTGTTTAGATTCTGCGATTTCTCACACAAATCATTGAAGTTTAAAGCTTTTTGAGGTTTGAAGGGTCATCAATAAATAACAAACAGAAAAAAAAAAATTTAACACCCTATGATGACACGTTCAACAAACGTTTTGAATGACATTTTTCAAAAATGATTTATAATGTTTTCGTAACAAGTTTGAACCCCAGCGATGGCTGTTTGATACGAACTCCCCAGCAGACTCTCACCGACCACAGTGCTGATGCAAAATATTTTCAGTGGTAAACAGATCATGGGCTAGGGCCCCTTGCTGTCAAACTAATGATGGGTTTTCCTCTCCATCTAATGCAAATGCAGGTTAGTTTCATTAAAAAATCCTTCAAGAAGGCAACATTTCTACCAATACTTCATCATGGAGTTCCCTTGTCTTTTGGGTTGGGTTCAAAATTACAAGGCTTCGAAATTGAACATTGGTAGTTGTAAAATCAAAATTGGATCTGCTGTTCAACGATGGTTATAAAATAAAATAAAAAAATGGAAATCGAAGCGCGAATAGAGGAAGGGAATCAAACTGATGGCCCATTCTTACTGAAATACAGAAGCGCATTTGATTTGTTAGTTACTTTGGATTGGAACAATTTTTTTTAAATACATTTTTTACTTCTTCTTTAGAAACTCTTGTTCCTTATTTTCTCTATATTTTTCACTAGTATATATATACTTACTTTATTACTGGTTTGCACAATGCATTGGCAAGGTATGTAGTAAATACCCCAGTGATTATCCATATTTATAGGACCTTTAAACTATTTAAAATTTAATGTTTCATTTGCTTTAAAGCTAAGAAAAAGGCAAAAAAGTGCAAGCGCTTCATTAGTGTTACGTTGAAGGGTATACATCATAAAGGTGGTTTTTTGTAGAAATTTCACTGCAAAAATTCAAGTCATGTTTCGCTAATTTTAACTTAAACTCAACACACTTTCAATTGGACTAAAAGTAAAATACTTGAGTAGAACTATAAACACTGAAAAAATAATAGGCTTACTTCGAAATCAGGATTGTAAGTGAAGGCTGCTTTCATTACTTCTGCTGCAACTTGAGAATCAGGTTGTCGCTGCAAACTGTTTGGAGAATAACCCTTCTCTTTCAAGAACATTTGCTTCACTCTAAATAAAACAAAAATATATCATTGCTTCTTGGTCAAATGGAATCTAAATGGTTTGAGACAAAGAAAGCTTAGTTTCGAAATTCAACAATTATTTAATTTCTTCAAAATCATATTGAGTTACGTTATTTTTCCCCTGCAACTCCTAAAAATAAAAAACGTAAAAAAAACTTCTGTAATCCAAACCTTAAGTCTGTAACTAACATTTCAACGTGATTATTTGATGGAAAAGAAATGAAAATACATGAGTTAATTAATGTTTAACGAACGTTTTAGTTAAACATTTAAAATTTTAACTAAAATAAAAATTCTAGTTTTATTATTATAAAAAAGTTTTTCTCAAAGCAAATACAGTCAGACTACTATTTAACGAACTTCCATTTTGCGATTTTTTTCTGAGGAACCAAGAACATTTTGGAAATTTTTTTCGAAAAATAACTTCCAAATAGCGAAGTGAATTTTCTATTTAAAGAACTTTTCTTTGAGAACCACTTTTTCCCTATTTCCCAAAATATTTTAAAACATTTCAAACTTGTTAACGGATTTCAGGGGGGAAATGACCTTGAATTGATTTTCGCAGCCATGTAACTTTTAGAGAAAGTAGTAAAATCTCTTTTCTTTTCTGTTTGCATGTCATACAGGAAATTTAATTTTTATTAGTTAAAAATGTATGTAGCATGATAGTGAAACACTGGATAATGTTTTGCTTTTTTTCTTAATTTCCATGCAGACTTCTTTTATGGTTAAGATTTCAGGGGTCTGTCTAGGTTTTTCTGAGAGGTACCTATTTTGTGAAAATTTAGACATAATTTGTGAAAGATTAAAAATTATATTAAAAAATCAACACAAAAATATGGATTTATTGTTTCTTCAGGGAAACAAAAATAAAATTTTAAGAAAAAGTATTTTGTGAAACTACCGTTTTTCCTTAAATTGAATTTGTGAAACTACCGTTTTTCCTAAAGTTGAATTTGTGAAGGTACCGCTAAACGGCAGTAAATTCGGCCTGGGCAGACCCCTGGATTTATAAAATAAATAGCAGATAATAATTTACAATTGCTATTTAACATATGTCTAGTGTTCATGAATTTAAAACTTGTATTTTTTTTAAGTATTTCAAATATTTATTTTCTATTTAACGAACGTTTTATCGGGTTTCAGTGACTTTGTTAAATAGAGATCTGACTGTAGTAAATTTATTTTTATTCACACAACTGTCTGTTTACCTAAATCTTAAAATCTAAAAGTATTTGAAAGAATGTAGACGCATAAACATTTAAAGACGTACTATTATGAAAGAGTATTTGCAATATTTTAGCACACAAGTTCACACAAGCATAACAATTTTCCCCAAGTCAAGAAAATAACTCTCAAACAATTTTGTCACTGAAAATAATTTCATAAGCTTATTTGTTGCAGTGTTCTTACTACAATATGAGAATATTTTTTAATTTATTTTCTTGCATTAAAAGAATCATTAGAGTGTTAAGCTTGCTATTAAATTATATTAATTTAATTTCTCACATCATAATTATAGCGAGTAAAAAAATGTATACCAAATTCAAAGACCTTTTAGTTTTATGCATGACAACATATGTCCCAGGCAAAGTTGAAGGAAATAATGTCTAATTAAGTGAATAAAAAAAGAATGCTTACCGAGGACTATTTAACAAAGAAGATAACCTATACTTTGGCAGCAACAATGAAGCAGCAAATCCAAGGCCTCCAAATATCTCTTCAGCTTTTATTCTTTCTAATTCTGTTACCTAAATTAAAAAAGTTGTTATAAATAACTGTATATATTATCTGATGACAGATTGAGTCCATGATGTGCTTAACTTAAAAGTTTAAAATAAATCTCATTATATGTAGCTTCACTACAAATAGTAAATTACAAAGCAGAGGGGGATGAAAACCATAAAAAGAGGAACAGTTTTGAGTTAGAGAAGAGATGATTGTTTGAAAAAGATAATCTCCCAGTATTCATAATTCGGCACCAGAGCTTGTCGTTAGGATGAGACATTAGCCTAGGACAGGGGTGGCAAAGCTTCATGCACCAATGTTTTTCAAAAAATTGTTTAATGAGTTCATAGACGTGCCGTCAAATAATTTTGACTTCTTGATTATTGGGAAAATATTAATACTAAATTCTATCAACTCAAAACTCTTTATTTACTATGAAAAAAAAAAAAAACATTTTGCAATGTCTCAGTTATGCCTGTAATTCAACCTAAAGTAACATTAGTGTGACTTCTGTTGTTGCAGATTAGAAGACAAATGACTTATATTAGGTTGTAAGATGCTAGTTTAAGCAGAACTGTTAATGTTTCTTTGCTAGTTATTTATGGTTAGCTTGTTTTTTTCAGTTATTGTTTTTTTTTGGCATTAAATTGTTAATTTTTTTTGTTAATTGTTTATTTTTTTGTTTGTTTTTGTGAATTTTAATTTAATTGTTAATATGCTTCATAGTGAACTTTGTGATCGGTGGCATGCCCAGAATATTGTGTCATTAGCCCAGAATATTGTGTGTGCACACATCCTAATTATATCATCATTCTGGTTGTATGAATTGTGAAAACAGTGAAAAGGAAATAATGTGAAGACAATGCTTTCGGCGTAATTCATGATAAAAACCGTGATAAAATAATACCTAGGGAACATTAAGGACTTTTTAAAAACACCTGTGACACAATGCAAAAAGCACTTTTAAAAAACGAAAATAAGCACCTTTAAATACTTTTTAAAAATGCTACGCTTCCTGTGTATTTTAAAAGACAAAAAAGGTACTAATTACCATAGATCCATTTATCTGTTCTATAGCTGGACTTAGTCGATAAACAGCATACGTCCTCCAAAGTGAAAGCTGCAAAACTGGATTTCCTTCATTTTCAATAACTAGATTTTTAAGGCCAGGAATTTGTCCCAATGCATTCAACTGGGACAGAGTCTCTAAACAAGCACATTCAAATGAAGCAGCCTACAAAATAATCACACGTATATCACAATCTTAGTTTTTAAATTCATGAGTATTCTTTCAATCTGAAAATTATTAAATGATTCTAATCCACATTCTTTATGCAACCACATAAGTTATAAACTTATTTTTGATAATTCAGTAGAATAGGGGTGGACAACCAGTGACCCACTGACTGTTGATGTGCAGCCTGAGGGAAGTTCTGAATGCTAGAAATTTTTTTTTTATAATTTAGTTTTTTTTAATGAACATTATAAATTTTGTTTAATTTAAATATTTAATTCAACTTTATATTTCTCTGTAAATACTTTTTGTACTTTAATTCTGTAAGAATTTATATCTCCCAATATTTATATGTATATGTGTGTGTATATATATACATATTAAATAAAATTATTGAGAAAAATGGAAGAATTTTTTTTAAAAAAAAAAGTATCCAATTTTTTAGTTTTAAATAAATTCCAATAATTAAAATTATTTAATTGTCTGCAAATATGTAATTAAGTAAACTGACAAAAATATTTAATGCTTAGAACATTAGCGTTTACATGAAAATTATCATATTTGCCACGAACATGACTAAATCCTGCGTGCGGCCCTTCGTTAATCTACCTGCTGTGCACTCAAAAAGGTTGTGCACCCCTACAGTAGAAGATTTATATAAAGCATTTCCATAAACCACATCACCTTCGGGGTGTAAGCAATAAAAAAAAATACTTAAGTGTATATTTTATGTTTTTAAATATTTGCATCCAAAAATAAAGTATTTTAAGATGTTTCAGACTAATATTGCTATATTTAGTAGGTAAGTTTAAAGATGAGTGAAATAATCTATTCCACTTAGTTCAAAGCATCATGGTTTGCGCTACAAAAATCTTCTAATTTTGTTTCATTTTTTACTAAGAACTTCATTTTAGTTTCTCTTTAAATTCAACATTCATTTTTAAAAGACTGTAAGGATTCTTTTTTTGTCTTAAAAAATTAAAAGAAATTCAGTTAGCTAGCTAAAGTTTAAAGGTTAAGAACATTTTGAGAAGTTACTCAGTGCAGAACTGATCACATTTTTCTAACACATCTTTTCCGGTTGACTTTTTAAGTTTTCCTGGTGATAAACAATTCAAATTATTAGTGTTTGCATGCTAATCAATCACTGCTTGTAGAAAAAAACATACAAAATGCACACTTTTTACAGAGAATATATTTTTATTTGAAAAAATAGATAATGCAATATTGTTTATTCCTTGTTTTTTTTAAATACAATTTATAAAAAGTAAGATAATCAAGGACCCATATGGGGCCCGGCGGTGCCCATGCATAAAGATGGTACTGGTGACAACCATAACTAATCGTTTAAATAAGAAAATTAGTTTCTATAAAAAATAATTTGGTTTTCACTAAATTTTATGCGTATATTTGGGTTAATCCAATATGCACCTACAGGGGTCTGTTTAGAAGAAATTTGGGCTCGTTAACAGACCCTTCACAAAACATCTTTTCATAAAAGCGGACCCCTCACAAAATAATTTATCTTTTAATCGGACCCTTCACAAATTTGTTTATCTTCATTATTGTTTTGTTAATCGATTAAACTCTTCAGGGGGGGGGGAGAGACGGTTTGAAATGTTAATAGAATATTATGTAAAAAATTTAGGCCCGTTAACAGACCCTTCACAAAACATCTTTTCATAAAAGCGGACCTCTCACAAAATAATTTATCTTTTAATCGGACCCTTCACAAATTTGTTTATCTTCATTATTGTTTTGTTAATCGATTAAACTCTTCTGGGGGGGGGGAGATGGTTTGAAATGTTAATAGAATATTATGTAAATAAAAATTTATTTCTGGCAATTTTTTAAATAAAATATTTTAAATTTAAGAATTGTTTAAATTTATTTAATGCATAACACATTAAAAATAATACATAACTAAGTTGAGTTATTTAAAATATGTCGATTGAAATTATTAAAAATGTGAGTGACTGTTTCCATTATTCGTCCGAAATGAATATTCTGTGTTGAGCAGTATAGGCTAAATACCACATATTTGTATGTTGCATCTCTAATTTAGTAGCAGTAATTGTTGAGTAGAATCTTGTATCTATTTCCAATTTAAAAACTTTTAGAAAGGGTTTTTAGCAATTTTTGCAGCAATAACAGGACACAATTTGCACAAAAGCAGGGCCCTGGTTGAAAGAATGTGACTTAACGCTTATTTTATAGTCACAAATAATGAGTAGTTTTTTCCCAATTTTACAAAAACAGGACCTTTCACAAAATGTCTGGACTGACCCCTGATATATGTCAATTAATAGAAAAATATCTTACTTCAATGTTAGGAAATTGAGTTTTCATTTTGCCAAGCAGATAAGCAATATCGTCAAAAATGATGAAATGGAAGCACACGGCGTGAATCAAGGAGACAGTCTGAGGAGCCCAGGTATTGCTCACAGTTGCAGCCACAGCACCAGGACCATAAAGTTTCAGATTGCTAAACTCTACTTCAGCCAGATAAGTTAGCTTTGAATCAGCTACCTCCAAGTCAAGGGATAAAGAAGGCTTCAATTTTTTACTACAAAAAAGAAGTTCAATCATTTCAAGAGTTTATTATAAGATAAAATTCCCTACAAAGGCATGGAATTTCAAGCTCTCTACATTGATAATGTAAAATTTCAATGCAAAATTAAATTGATAGTTTCATAAAAATACTAAGCAGTTACAGTTACTAACACAATTAGAGCTTGACAAAGTTGTGATACGACACAATAACTGACCCCAGATAGCAATGCAAACAGTGTCAATAAGTAGATGTAAAGAAGAAGTCCTTTTTATATATAAAAACGAGTGCAATTTTTGACTCGAGTATAGTGGCATTCGATTCAAGCAGAAAAAATATACATAAAATAATGCCTAACTTGTTTAGATGACTATTTCAGCAGGGTTGTCAGGATTCAGATACGAAAAATAGTCTACAAAAAAGTTACTAGAGGCATAAAATAATTTCCCTCCACTAACATATCCCTACACTATTTTAACGATATAAAATAATGCATTTTTTTCAGACTATTACAGTTTATGAACACAATAATAAATTTATAAAGCATTATAATAACATTAATTGAAATGATAGGCATAACCAAAACTGTTATAGTCTGTATCCTTATATTTATTGATTTTAAACTTAAAAAACAGAGTAAAGAAAGTTAAAGCAATAAAATAGCTGAAAAAAATACAAAAGCTACTAACTAAATACTGTCAGATATATGTAGTTATTTAAAGCTGTTTAATTTCTTCTTTAAAGTAAGTGTAATATAAAAAGCCTAAACTAGAATTTTAAGTTGATAAAATAAAAAAATAAATGAAACAAAATTCTGAAATCACAGAAGTTTAAAAGATAATTCGCTCTAGAAATGATGTTCTTTCTTTCATTTTTTGAAAGAACACTATAATTTTTAAAGAATAAGATAAAAACATTTTATATTTTAATAGAATATGACTATGAGTGAGGATTTTGTTACAAATTTAGATATTTGAAACATCAGAAAACTGTGAAATTGGGGAAAACTGTGAAATTGAATTAAATTTTAAAAATTAGATTTTTCAGCAGAAGCCCATGACTTTAAAAAAAATAGTTAAAATCGTAATATTGCATGACAAATTTTGTTCAATACTAAAATCCATGACTTTCCAGGTGCGCAGATACCCTGAACATAAAGCTTTTTCTTAAAAAATTCTTAGGCATTAATTTTCCCCAATTCTTTGCTATAATTAGAGGACTCGGAGAGTTAATATTTTTCGATTTAATAGAGAGTAAAAAAAAAATCATGTAAACAAATCTTCATCAAAGCAATGAGTAACTCACAACAAATATTTACCTTTTCGAGTCCCTTTTCTGAGATTTTAGTTTGGGTTTCTTAGACTTTTGTACTATACCATTGGATACAACTTTTGATTTTGCACTGTCACATTCACTGCAATCCACGCCCTGTCCACCACTGTGGAAAAACAACATACATATATATACAATTTCTTGTTAATTTTACAGGGTATGTAGCAAAATCTTTCAACAAAAAATAAGCACCTTTTTAGCACTCAAAAATAATTTTTAAGCACTATATACATTAACAAAATGCAAATTAATTTTCAAACACTTTACATGATCATGATAAAATAACTAGTTTCTGACAAAGAACTCTTTTCTTGATTATATTGGCCACCATAAGAAGATAAGAAGAATCTTCTAGAAAGATTTCTGAGGGTGGAAAATGAAGTCTGAAATGGATAATGTCTTGCAAAATGCAGCAGAGTTGTACATGAGAGTGCTAGAATCTCACCGAACTCAGCTCAGTAGAAGCACACGCAGACTCTCAAGTATTTAATCAAACATGCAAAATGATTGGCGCTTTCAATACGCTTCGAACCAACAGTGGGCTGAAATGGATTGTGAAAACGTTGAATAGAACAATTTGAAAAGCACACTTTTGCATAATACGTGGCGCAAATTGACACGGCAAAGAAAATAAAATCTCATTTTTGAAAAGGGAAAATTAACCAGTTTTTAAAAACACCTTACGAAAAAAGCCGATTTAAGGGAGTTTTAAAAAACGAAAATCGAAAATCAGCACCTTTAAGCACTTTTTAAAAAATGCTATGCATCATGTTTTAAAATAAGATGAAGTTAACTCACCAACAAGAGCAGAACATATCTTCTTCCTCTTCACTGAAAGATCGGCTGTACCTGGACGCTAATAAATGCAATGGAACTGCAGACGCTATTGATGAGGACACTGCAGAAGAAGGCAATTCCCTGGGAGTTGGTTCTTTGCAAGACGTCTCCCACAGTTGGCGTGCAGTTGTTATAGCTTTCTCCTTAGCTTCCTGCAACATATCACAATCCATGTAGACAAAATGCATTATTCAGAACAAAATTTAGGTTAAAGCATAAAAAGGTTCCCTGCTTTCCATTTTTAGAATTCAAAAAGCAGTTAATTAACTTCTGAGGCACCCTATCAAGCATACTTTTGAAGCCTTTTCTCACCCAAGATACGTAGCAAGAATCAACATTTATTTTATTTTTTATAACCGTCGTTGCACAGCCGACCAAATTTGGCTTTAGTTTGCAGTTTAACTCTCTGAACAAGAAATGTTTAGAAACATTTAAAAACTTCTACTTTTCTAGAAAAGTTGTTAATTATTATAGATAAAATTTTTTTAACTTTCTCCCACTGAAGGTGCAGGAGAAAGATCACACAAATCAATTTTATATAACACTTTGTTAGTCGGCGATAATTTCTTTTAATTCATGCTGGAGTAGATTTAGTAACTTTATGTGTTATGCAAGTTTCTGATTTTCCCTTTAAATTCCTCTAACAAAGTTATTACTCATATGTTTAACTAATGATTCAAGTGAGCAAGCCCGTGATGACATAGTTTCACGTCTAATGCTGCATTAAATTCATTCTTAAAAATTTCAGTTTTACGGTTGTTAGGTAAACTTTGTACGACATAGAGTTTATTTATTCTGGGAACACTATACTAAAGAAATATTTCTATTGGTTGGTTCGTGGTTGGTTGGTGTCGTATCCTCTATTGAATCTTATTTCATGGTGTGCTTGAATAGCTTTTGTTATTTCATGGCATTAAAAGAATACAAATCCTCTTTTGTGGGGTAGTTTAAGAGGTGAAGGCCTGCAGCGACTGCAGGGCAGTTAAAAACATGATATGGTGTCAGTTCCACATTAAGACAGTTGCCACAGTTTTGATATTTTCTAGTCCCATCTGTAGAAATTTTCATGTTTTTATGATGTTTTGTTCTTAGTCTGATGAGAGTAGTGGCTGTCTTTCTATCAATGTCAAGATTAGTTATTTAATCGAGGGCTTTGATTTTTAAAGGGGTGAATAGTCTTGACTTTGCAAAAGCATTTGCATCTGCCAACGTGGTTGGAATTAAATTTGAATTTAGATCTCTGGCGTTTTTAGCCAAGGAATCAGCTATTTCATTGAACTCTAGGTTCACATAGGCTGGAATCCACTGCAAGAAGCAATTTTTCCGGAGACGCTGAAGTTGTCCAAGTTGTTCTATGATATTCAGGATAAGGCTTGAGGTACCTTAGCTGAGGACCTGTAAGGCAGACCTGCAGTTGCTGAAGATGGTGATACCACTAAGCTGCTCCGAAGGTTCAAGATTGATGTATGCTTCGATTGCCGTAGAAATGGCTATCAATTCTGCCGTAAAATTAGATGCGATTTTTCCAGCACCAGTTGCGAACTCTCGTTTTTGATCACCAGGTAGGAGCAGTACCACTCCCGCACCTCCGTTGGTGAAAGTGGAGTCAGAAGATCCATCAGTAAAAGCCCTGGCATGATTGAGGCCAGATAGAGAGTCGATAGTTTTCATCCCAATTTCCTTCAGTTTATTCGCATGATCTTTTTTCGAGCAGGGCTCGATGAGTTCTAGACAGATTGTCGTATTCTCTGGAACAACTCCAATAGCGGGAGTTTCGTTTCTGAAAAGAAAGTCCTCGGGTTTAAGGTGAATTTTTTCTCTGATCACCCTGTCAAACAGAAGGGGAGATGACCTTTAGAGTCTAGATTTTTTATTCCAGTTTATAATAGTACGATGCGAAATGTACCCCTCGTCAAGACTATGGGCGTTATTTGTAAATTTAACAGTTAACATTTGTCTCCTTTCTTCCAGAGGGACCAAACCGCATTCCTCTTGAATTCTTAAGTTGTTTGTTGATGAGACAGCACCAGACATTATTTTTGCAGCTTTCGCTTGTACTTTATCGAGTCTCTCTCTTGAAGTAGAGGAGGAGTGTGACCATACAGGTGTGGCATATTCCATTATTGGTCTTATAAGAGTTGTGTAAGTAGTTTTCAGTGTTTTTGGTGCAGCACCCCATTTTGTGCCACAAAGCCTCCTAAGGATGTTCAGCTTTTTTAGCGCTCTATTAGAACATTCTAGAATGTGGTGGTGAAAACGAAGCTCTTCGTCAAGTATTATACCGGGGTACTTTGGGTTAGAAATCTTTTCTATGGGGGTGTCAAACAATGTGATATTAGGACAAAATGTGTGCCGGTGTTTTCTATCAGTGCTGAACACACTGAGTTTAGTCTTGTTAGGATTAATGACTAGTTTAAGGTCTCTTGACCATTTTTCCAATCCTCTCATTGATTTTTTAAGCTCAGCTTCAGATAATTCCTTCATGCTCATAATGAGAAATATTCATGATTGTTGTAACAATTGGCAGCCCTCGGTTGAACCTACTGGAGGTGAAACTTGTGGTTAGAAATTGTTGCCAGAGTCTATGAACCACAGAAAGACACACATTTAGTCATCTGGTCACTTCTGACATTCCTGCTTTATATCTCCTCGTTGGTTCTTCGGATAAACGATGTCTGAAGGTCAATGTTACAAATTGGCAATCCCAGATTTCTAACTTCACAACAAAATTCACAGGCTTGGTCTCAATTATGTAACTTTACGTTTCCTGCAGAGAACATATTTTTCGATTGCAGTGGCACTAATTTACATATTGTAGTTTTACTTTGGACGAGTTATTGCTATTTCTGTGATTTTTCCTTAGGTTTTGTTAAACAGCGTAATTAGAGAAATGGAGGCGAGTCTGAAACATAGGTTTTGCTGTGATAAGAACTCACTCATTAGGTAAGCAATGATTCCCCTTCTGAAAATGCCACTCTTTATTAATTTTCTGGTTCAATAATCAAGAGAAATATTAAACTCCGAAGAACATTAAAATCAAAATGTCTCAGTAAGCTTTATCTAGGGGTGCTGAAGAACTATAAACTGTCAAGGTAGTAAAGGAAATCAAAAAGTCCTAAGTCAACCTAGTTAAAAACGTCCACACGAGTATTCCCCATACTTTAGGACCACAAAGCGGAAGCGTAGCGACACGGGGAAATTGTCGCAAAACGTTGCAGAGTCCTTGCAGAATAATTTTTCTTTTCTACAGAAATTTACACGTAATATTTGAATCATGCATTTAGATAATCACCAGGGTGGCCACTCAAATCAGGTTTCAAATTTCCCTGATTTTTCCAGGTTTTCCAGACAAAAATCTTAAAATTTCCAGGTTTTTGTTTCTTTTTTCTTATAAAGTCTAGGATGTGTACAAGAAAAGTGTCTATATTATAAAATATTTTATTCACAATGTTATTATTTTTTTTAACATATCATTTTGAAAGAAATAATTTTTGACAATTTGGCAAGATTTTTTAATGTTTTGGTACAAAAGTTTGAATCAAAAATCATATATTGACCAACAAAAGAGTAAAATTAAGTATTAATATATAATTGGTTCTTAAAATAACCTTTTTTTCTTAAATTAAAATATGTTATAAAAGGTTAAAATGAAATTTAAAAAAAATTAGCATTACTGCAACAACTGTAACGATTTGTCGACAAACATTGCTGTTAGTGATTGTAAAAAAATGTGCAATGGGTTGGTTTGCTGAGAAAAAATAATTCACAGATTTCTTTGAATGGGAGTAGAAAAGCTTTCAGAAAAAGAGTGCAATATAAAATCTTTTATTATTAAATTATAGCCAAATAACTTTTGGAGAATTTATAAAGTTGAAAATACAAAAAACATTTTATCAAAATTACCATTAAAGCATCAGAACAAACTTGAGAAATAAATGGAGCCATAATTGGACTAAAAACTGGAAAAACTGGATAAAATAATTGGAATTTAAAAACAGAAGCTAATATCCTAATCCCTTTTTCTACCTCCACCAGAATCTTTCCTAAATTGCAGTCCCATAGCGGTCAAAGGTTTCTATATTCGTTTAGCAACAGTGAGAGAATTTTATGTGGCATTCTAATTTAACAGAGCTGTAATGGAGCAAATTTTGATGCAAGCAAAGTATAGCTAAGTTGATGATATTTCAACTGTTTGGCGATACATTTCCGTTTAAAAAAAGTGGGTATAATGGATGAAATAATTTAAATTAAGAAAATTAGTAAATAATTTAAATTAGTGAAATCAAAAAAATTATCAAAGAAAAAATTTCCAGGTCTTCTTTAAAATTCCCTGATTTTTCCAGGTTTTTATTCAAATTTCCCTGATATTTCCAGGTTTTTTCCAGTATAAAAAAATTCCCTGATAATTCCAGGTTTTCAAGGTTTTCCAGGTGGGTGGCCACCCTGATCACTTTTTGAAGCTCTTAATTTACGTCGAAAGTATTGTAAATCGATGCGATGTTTAGATTGTATATTCGGCAGTTATTTATATTGATTTTCGCGTGGATTTTAAATATCCCCATATATTTCAAACAATATGGAAAATTCAAATTATGCATTTGAGTATTGATTTTTTAGGCAATAATTCTATCGAAGTTTTCTCAATTATTGCTATTGATTTCTCCACAGTTTTTAAATCCAATATTTTTCATACAATATTCTTTATTACAACAAACTAATCTCAAAATGAAACACGCATTTGAGGAGTCCGATTCGAGTGATTTCTTTGATCTTTTTTTCGGCAATTATTACCACGCTTTTCATGATTTTTAATTATTTTTTTTATAGTGACGATTATTTACAAATTTTTAAGGAAATTATTTGTGTGTCCCTCCTAACAAAATGTGAGAATATCACCCATATTAGAATAAAATATTATTACATGTTCAATTAAAAAAAGTGCATAGTTTTTTCTTCTTTTTTTGTAAACACAGCGCTTTTGTCATTTTAAATTAGTAAGATATATGTTTGTTATTATTAAAAGTATCTTGCAGAAAGACATTAGTGCTAGAGAGTTTTGTCGCAGATAGCTTGAAATATTATGCCACAGGGCTTGAGAAGTTGGAAAGAATAGTTTTGTACAAAAATTATTCCACACACTTACTTTAACTTTGGCTTGCCTGATCCCTTCCTGTCTTCTTTGCTCTTCCTTTCGCATTAAGGCATGTGCTGTGCGTCTTTCTTCATCCTTTTTACACAAAATAACACACACATTATTATAAATAGAAATTTATCTCTCAATAAATAACACACCAGTTTAAAAAACTTAGAAAATGACATTCTGAATAATGCCAAAGTAACATTAGAAATAATTAAACAAGCTGATTTGATTACAGTTTACTTTAAATATTTATAAAAAAACATATTAGTCTTTTCCTTCAGAGAGACTTTTTTTACATAGAAAGTTTTGTTATGTCCCTATAAATGATAACTGAATACTCCTCTGCACACTTTCTAGGGATAATAGGGATAATTTGAGGGTAAGAACTGAATCTCGTTGAGACAGGCAAGTGAGGTATGTATTCTGATGTATTTTATTGGGCTGAGTAAAAAGGAACCAATCTTAAAACCAGTCCAATAGTTAGTAAGTTACAACGGTTTTATGTACAAAAAATATAATTTTGTATTTGTACTTATTTATGCATCTGAAATTGATATCTAAGTAAGTAAGCAACTGTTTCATATATATTTTTTAATGTTGAGACCAATCTTAAAACAATAGGACAAAGAGACTGAACACAAATCAGTAAAACAAATAGTTCAATGGTTTTTATATATAAAAAGTACTTAATTTAACATGTACTTATGTATACTTTTTATATTGCTATCTGAACTTATAAAGTATATTTCATGAAGAATTGAATGAGACAAACAAGAATCGATAAAATAAGGAGTTAGGAGTTATTAAGAGTTTCATACACACATATAGCACAATTTTGTACTAGCACATATTTAGGCATCTTACATTGTCATAAACTTGTTAAAAACAAAAACAGGAACACAAAACAAAATTAGCCAATTAGGGCGCCACAAAGTGAAAAATCCTGGAAATGTCATGTGCTTACATAATTTCTGATAGATAAGTGATAATAAATCCATTGTTCTTTTTAATTTAACTGCTTTTCTGAGCTCTTAAATATTAATTTAATTTTTTCGGCATATAGAGTGCAAATAGATCAAAACTGTAATTAAATGCAATATTTAATATTTTCTATGCAAAAAATTCCAATGCAACAAAATAATTGTGGTTAACGTTGACATTCGTAATATCGGTATAACAAATTGTTGTTATTGCGTAGCGATTGCTTTGGTCCCTAGGAATTCGTTAAAATGGGATTCGACTGTAATAAGATTTTTTCTTTATAAAAATAGACAGGAATTGTTCATTTTCAGAAAAAGACTATATTTCTGCAAAAAATCTTAATCTTACAGCTTACTTCTCCCTGCACTAAATTATGTGAAAATCAACCTTAAAAAATAATGTCAACCTTGATAACAATTTCACTATATATGGCTTCTAAGGATGCCAGTTGTGCAGGACAAACAGGCACAGGATTTTAAAAAGAGCAAATTAATTTTATTCTTAATCAGAAAATGAATATCCAAGTCACAAAATCGAAGTGCTCCTCAATTAAAGTTAAGGAAAACCTTAATAATTACAATTGGTCTATTAAATAGGTCGAGGGTAAAAGTCTTTCTCATGATTTCATTAAAGGGAGAAATCAAAAATATTAATTGATGCATAACTTAAAGCCAAAAATAGATTAAAAGACAGGATGTGAATATTAAAGTGTGTGGAAGAGTGTTTAGTTCAGAATATTAAATAAGAGGATTTAGAAATAGATATAACATAAAAAGTTTATTTAAAGCTTTTTATGTTACACACACACACATATATATGAACAGGGGTTGGGCAACGTAACAAAAATACTTACATAACGCATTTTTTTAAACTTTCACAAAAAATACTTAATGACTAATTTCATAAATTTTGAAGTTTATAGGTTAAGCGATTTCTCATACAAATCAATGAATTTTAAAGCTTTGAGACACCGACAGTAAATCACAAATAGAAAAAAGTGTTTTTGAACACACTATGCCAAAAAATATAGCTATAAGTTAATTTGTGAGTTATTTTGGTTATTATAAACAATATTTACACAAAATTTCATAAGCCTAGCTTAAATCTTTATGGAATATTTTTTTTAAAAACTAATTTTTTTGGTCTTACATTTTTTTGCCATAACTTTAAAAATATTCAATAAAATTAAATAAAATTTTTGCAGGAAATTACAAAATTATTGCTTTAAAATTTGAGAAAAATTTGTTTAAAACTGTGCAAGATATGAGTGATTAAAGTAGTTATTTTATACTCTGCACGCTTGGAAACATTTAAATTTTTTTCCTCTTAATTTTGTAGTGAATTGTTTTCTGCAACTAATAAAAAAGTTTGATTTGAATATCTTAAAAATTTAAAAAGTTTCCAACAATTTTCTAAGTTGTTTTTATGCTTTTTAAAATAAAGCTTAAAATGATAAGGGGTTTCGCATGTACTTTATTTTGCACTATTAAATAAAATTTATAAAAAGTGACACTGGCAATGTTTGGGATCATCCCCCATAAAAGTATCTTTTCCTTTGCCTGTTTTCTTTCCTTATTAAATCACATTTTGTAGTATGAATGTTTATTGTAAGGTATTATCATTTGTTAGTAAATTCCGTCTTATGATACAAAATAATATTTGTAGAAAACTCTCTTTTAAAAAGTGCAAAACCTACTTAGAGAATTGTTTACAAAATTTTATATTTTTGAGATATTCAAATAGTACTTTTTTTTCCTTAATTGTCAAATACATTATAAAAATATGAATTTTTTTTTTTCTCAGCGCAGGTGCAGTATAAAAGAACTACTTTAAATACTTATATATTGAACAGTTTTAAACAAAAGTTTTTAAAATTTATAGTAATAATTTTGTAATTAATTGCAAAATGCTCAAAATTTTTTGTTTCATTTTATTAAATATTTTAAAGTTAAAGCAAAAAAAGAGTGACAAAAAAATTTTTTTCTTATAAATATATCCATATTGCTATAAATATTTAAGCTAGGATTATAAAATTTTGTGTATTATTGCATATAATAACCAAATAACTGTTACAAAGTATAAATCTAATGCTACTTTTTTGGCATAGGGTGTCAAACACATTATTTTCCATTTGTAACTTGTTGTTGGTCCCTCAAGCCTCTAAAAGCTGTAAACTTCATTGATAAGTATGATAAATTGCTTGATCTAAACAATTCGTACGTTATAAAAAGATTTTCTTATTATTTCTTCAGAAATTTTTTTCACAGTCCCATTCTAGTTGTTTAATTTTCTAAGCACCATCCCTGTTTCAAAGGAAAAGAGAATAAAAGTTAAAAAGAAAATAAGTGTTTATACCAAAGCTCGTCTTGTGTCCAGCACCTTCAGCTGAGGAATGTTATGTAAAATGAGGTGGCGATAATTTGGTATAGCAGTTAAAGGGCAACCTTCTAAAGTTAAATCACAAAGCAAAGGAACATTGCTCACACAGTACATATCTTCAAACCTAGAATCAAACATGAGATTCACTTAACAACACCAGATCCATGCAGCAGATGAGCATTCTAAAAATGGTAATTCAGTTGAACTTGTCTTGATTTAAACAGATTCAGCAAAAAAAGTTTTTGCATGTTCTTGACCGAATGTTCAAAAGCAAAATGATGGAAATTATTATTCCTGTTATATCATACTTCAAAACAGAGTTTAAGACTTATTCAGTTCAAGTGCAGTGCAGAATGTAGTGAGTTTCCACAAGAAACAATTAAGTGGATTAATCAATTACATTTTTAGAAATCAATAGTAATGGATTCATATAAATAATTAGTTGAAAAACTGTGCCTCGAATTATAAAACTTAAGTTAAGGGTTGTTTACCTTAAATATCTTCAGTTGTTCAGGGTTGTTTACCTTAAATATCTTGTTTACCTTAAATATCTTTCAGTTAGTAACATTGATTAATTTTCGTGCTACTAAAAATATTAGTCTAGTAAAAAAAGCTTGATTAAGACATCCAAACATTACAACTATAATAATAGTGGATGGCATGCTTTTTCAAGCTTAAATGTAAAAATCAGCTGGAAATAGTAAACCAGAAATCTTACGACGAATTTTAACCCCTAGTGCCACCTGTGCTTAGCTTCATATTGTCAACCATTAATTTATTATTACTATTTTATTTAAATAAAAGAGTTTTAAATGAAAAAAAGAACAATGTGAATCCTTAAATATTTTAAGAGAAACGTGGCTACGGACTATGCATAAAAAATATACTTTACCTTTCAAGTGCGTTTTGTGAGAGAAAAAGCCTTTGTAATCTTGGTAAGACATCCACTTCACACTGAAAATAGTTTTACAAATTATTTTTCAAGCAATATATCATTATTTCATGAAAGAAGCCTGTATGCACTCTTTTACATAAGAATTTCATTGAATTCTTGAGAATAAATTTAAGATTTGGTCACTCACAACCTAACACAATGACGCTCAACCTTTTTTTTGTTGTTGCGGCACATTTTTAATGTTTTTGAACAAAGATAAAAATAAGTTTAAAAGTTGTTTACTTACCAATAATACACTGTGCAAAATAGTTTATAATAATTTTAAATGCGATATAAAATAATATGTAGTACAAAAACAACAGTACCTTTATTAAGGAATTAATTACAACTTAATAATTGTTATTTATTTATTTACTTTCTGCGATTTATTAATTATAAACTAGTTTTTTTACAGTTATTAATTGTTAGATTTTTCACATTAATTGATACTTTTTTGTGATTCCTTGTTAACTTGTCTTTTGTTGCTAATTATTAAAATTGTTAGCTTGTTTTTATAACTATTAATTGCATAGCTTATTTTCATTGTTACCTTTTGTAAGTTAATATTTAGCTTTCTTTCTTTTGTAAATTAATAATTTTAACAGTCATTAAATTTCCTATTCATTTAAACATTTTAAGATTGTCAAAGACAAGACTATCTTTGACAAAGATGTTCATGCCATTAAAGCGTGGAAAAATTATAAAAAGTATCATCATCATAGTTGGCCAGACAGCCCAATGCCTTCCTCTGAAGATTTCTCCATGATTACTTCCGATTTATCTTTGATCTTATAAAAAGTATATAGATATAATATTATACACATATAAATACTTTTCGTAATTGAAATTAAACTTGTAATAAAAAAAGCATTATAATAATTTTTACAACATCATTTCTAAAATTTGGTGGTACACAAAAGAGTGGCAGCACTGTGGTAGATAATCATTGACCTAACCAGGGCCAGACTTAGCCTAATTGGGGCCCGGCCCTCCCGCCCCCTCTGCTTCAGTAATGAAGAACCGAACTTTATGGAGGTATTTAAATTTTTCACCTCATTATATATAACAAGAAAATTAACTAGAACCTAAAATAGCTATAAAGTCCCCAACCACATCCAATGGTCAGACGAAATATCGTTCTGTCCATTTTATTAATTTTCTGATTGTTAACTTTGTTATCTAGCTGCGAAAAATTCATATCCTTGCTGACATTAGGGCGGAATTCAGCTAAATATTTGCAATTACGATGGTGCTCAATTAAGCCAGTCAGAAGCCTGTATTTTTGTAAACACATCACATTTTGCGATATGTAAAAGTACAGGCTTTTGATTGGCCAAATTTGTCATTGAGATTCGTCATTGCAAAAATTTACCTGAAATCCGCCCTAGAAAGCCATGGATTTACGAAATATAGATTAGATTAATGAAGAAGCTAACATAAAACTGACAGATTTTACACTGTACTGATATTTTGTTTAAAAAAAAGTTCATTAAAGAAGGAAACGTAAAATAAACTTTCTATATGATTTGGGGGGCCACTTTGATGTGGGGGCTCGGATCAATTGCCTCCTATGCCCCTGCCTAAGTCAGGCTCTGAACCTAACACAATAAACAACTATAATTAATAAGCATCCTGTAAAATTATTGTAATTAACATAATCAAATATAAATTAGCCAATATTTGTTAGGAAATTTAGGAGAATTATACCTGTGTATTGTTTATTAACAGGACTTTCAACAGCTTCCCAAATGGAAAAAAAGGGATAGTGAAAAATAGGACCAAATATTTTTTTTAAATTTCAGAATTACTTTGCTTAGAAGTGAAAGTTTTAATTTTATTAACAAAACTGCTGATAATAGAAAACTTTTGTGGCATTGTTGCTTTCTTAAAAATAGTATCAATAAGTTAAATTGAAAACTTTGTAATAGAATTCAAAACTTCCCTAATCATATAAGTTTAAAATAAGGTTTCAACTAATCTTGAAATGAATACAAAATAATTTTGTCGTATAAAGTAATATATTGGTTGATGCTCAATTCACCATTTAAGAATTTTTTGATGTAATTACTGTATTGTTGAATAAAGTCAAATATTATTTTAAATTGGATAAAAGAGGCCAATTAATAATCATAAAACACAACCCAACAAGATTCATTTTCTGAAGATAATAAATAAGGTCCGAATTCATCACCATAAAAATTTGATAATGTAAAATTGTTGCTTCCCTTTCATAAATGAGTGAATTCTCCGAAAGTTTGAATTAATGAATTTTGCGGGTAAGACTATATGCCTTTTATATAATTAATAGATGGTCTTCAAGTTTGAACTATTGAGATTTGCAATTCATAGTTATAATAAATTGGATTTAGAATTAGATTGGATTTGATTTTTCTTCTTGATCAATCCACATTTAAATTTAAAAGAAATGGGATGTTCTCAGAATCCAACAGAAAATAACACATCCTTTGAAAAATTCCGCAGAGAAGTGTTTTCACAAAACCAAAAATGTTTCCCCCAAAAAACTGCTTGAAAAACTTTCTGCAACAACAAAAAATTACGTTATGCAAAAGTTAGTTAATATCACAGTTGCCAACACGGATAGGAAAATATCCAGTAGATATTACGAAATAATATGAATTTAATGATAATTGTTGTATAATGCACTAAATATTTTACACATAGGGAATTTTAGGGATTTTTTATAGTCATCAAAATAGTAAAACTGCAATATTTTCCAGTTATGATTTCACATTAAATGATCTTGAAATGTTTATTCATAATTTTGAATAGTAATAGGAATTTAATTCAGCTAAGAAACTAAAATTTATAAATCAGGCTTGCTTCCTTATGTATAAGAGACAATCATTTAAATGTTCAAGAAAGCAATAATCTGCACAAAAATTCGATTTCAATAGGGACCTTTTTAGAAAACTTACTCAATTTTAGGGAATTTTCTAAAATGTACAAAAACCAGGAGAATTTTTATTAAACCAGTAGACCAGGAGAAACAGTCAAAATCCAGTAGAGACTAGTATGTTTTGCAACTAATCACTTCTCAATACAACTCAGGAACTATTTCATTAAAATAAAAATGAAGGAAAATGAAACTTACAACTTCAGTAATTAAGTTCTTGGACAAATTCAACTCAATCAACGATTTGAGTCCTCTCAAACCACTCATAATAGAAATTTGATTTGAAGAAAGATTTAGCACTCTCAGTTCTTGAAGGTGACTGATATTTGCTATTTCTCTAATCTAACAAAAGGAGAAAAGATTTAAGATTTATAAGAGTACTTCAAACATGCAACTTAATATCTGTATTTGTAACAATTAGCACATTACAAATTTCTACATAACCAACTGGGATATCAATTTTAAAAATTATGAAAAAATATTCGGAAGCCTAACAATTATTTCTCATAGTATACTGTTTTAGTGTTTATATTTAGTGAAACTGATGTAATTTACATTTGGCATTTTTATTTATTTGACCCATTCTACACTGAATCATTGTTGCAGCTGCATCCATTTTGCTGAGTATTCATGAAGTTCATATGAATTGTTGAAAGGGATTTTCTCTTACAGTTAAAAGGATATGCTTTTCTTTCATTTTAGTTTAACGAAAATGACAGCCCCAGATCAACCTTCGATTTTTAATGCTTTTTTTCACCTATTTATTTTAAGCGGGTACTTCATGTGTATCGATTAATGCAGAAAAGTTACGTTATTGCCAATTAATCACCAAATTCTTTTAATGTAAAGCATTGCTTTCTTAAAATTGGCTTAGATACGAGTACAGTATTATTTGCGCTTACGGCATAACGACTTTATGTTATAATGTACATTTCTGCTCGGCCCACGAGGGTCGTTACATTCAGCATTAACAATGTATAGTTCTAAGGGTATTGTTATAGATATTTAATAATATTTCAATTATAATTTATATTTATAAAACTAATTACAGATTAAGGTTTTTAAAACATCTTTAAAAAACTGTTCTTCCAACCTTTCTGTTATACTATATGACAGTAACCAATGTATAGTTCTAAGGGTATTGTTATTGATATTTAATAATATTTCAATTATAATTTATATTTATAAAACTAATTACAGATTAAGGTTTTTAAAACATCTTTAAAAAACTGTTCTTCCAACCTTTCTGTTATACTATATGACATTAACCACGGAATTATTTCAAGAGAGGGGGAGCTCCCTCCCTCCATGTGTGTGTGTATGTATATATATGTGTATGTTAGTATTAACTGTGTCTGAATTATCCCCAAACCTCACAAAATGGTATTCAAGAATTCACACTTGCAATTTTAACTTCATGATTCTTTTAAAATTAAAAAAAGAAAGTGTTTACCTGTAAATTATTTATTGCTCATTAAACTGTATTTTTTAAAATTTGTTTTGCTGTTTTTTTTTTATCTCGCTGTTACATTTGAAACCAAGAATTTTTCCCATCGGTCAGCAATAGGGACATATATTCCATTTGCGAATGAATTTTTTAATGAATTGTTATCTAAAATAATCTAATATATAAAATAATTTTGTTATGTTACATAAAATTTCATTATCCAAAATAATGAATTATTTAGTGATTTGGTAGTAATTTTCACGAAGGAAATGTTAAAGCTTGCTTGAAATAGAGACACAATTTTTTAGAATTCAGACACAAGAAAAACTATCTACTTTTTTATTCGTAAATTCAATTACACAAATATTGAGTAAAAAATTTTAAACTTTAAAATGGACTGAGTCCCTTCATTCATAAAATGTGAGGAGGCTAAAGCCCCCTCTCAGTTACACAGTCCCTGCTATATAAAGACAAAATAGTATTGAAAACAGTTTAAAATTATTTATAATGAATGAAAGATAAAGGTAACAATATTGATACCTCATTTCCACTTAGATCAAGAACATCAAGATGGTGTAATGCCTGTAGACCATCAATATAATTGATTCTATTAGAAAAAAAAAAGATTTTCAAATTACAGTAATAAATATTTTCATGTCTGTGAGTTCAAATCAAGTTTAAAAATTTGAAACCTCATTTCCTTACGTATTATTATATCCTCATCTTCCACGCTAGTCAATTCAAAGGATGAAAATATACACATTTTTGTTATAGCTCAGTTTAATTTCTTTTAATTATAATCANCAAGTTACAGTAATCAATATTTTCATGTCTGTGAGTTCAAATCAAGTTTAAAAATTTGAAACCTCATTTCCTTACATATTATTATATCCTCATCTTCCACGCTAGTCAATTCAAAGGATGAAAATATGCAAATTTTTGTTATAGCTCAGTTTAATTTCTTTTAATTATAATCACCTCTTTTTTTCTAGAAACCACACATATATTGCTATTCTATGCACACATACAATAAAACAAAAACATTTTTATCAAATTGTATGAAAGGCATTAAAATGACCCAATTTTTAACATACTAAACACAGTCTTTTCAAAACAATATATACATATATACTACTTTTTACAGCAGGCACTGAACTTTTGTTCTTCCCTCGGAAGACGAAGGAAGTGTTGCTCATTTATTGTTACCCAGTAGGCACCTGTGAACCTAAGTCACGGAGGAGAGCAACATTACTCACGTCACAGGTACCCGTTTATAGGGTGGGCCACATTCACACAACCGAGGACAACACACAGATTCCAAATTCTTGTTGCAGTTCAGTTTAATTTCTTTTAATTATAATTACCTTTCTTCTTCAAGAAACCACACATACAGTCCAACCTCAGTTTAACGAATCCCTATTTACCAAATTTCGCGATTTAACGAAATTTATGAAGTAGATTTATGGAAAATAATGAAAAGAGATTCCGACACAGAAGTCGATGATAATAAATCTCCAGTGAAAACTGTTACTTTTTCCGATGCTGTGAAAACAGGGAAAACGTTAAACACAGATTTTTCCAAAGAATCTAACTGAGTCTAAAATATATTTTTAATTTAAAAACAAGAGGTTTGGAATTTGTCAAGAGCAATAATTTTTAATTAGTCTCAGAACAATTCAGGCAGCATATACATTGCACTTTTTAGAAAACTTTGGAACAATACTCAGGCATGAAAGCAACACAATGAAATAAAATAAAAAGAGAATAAACTTGTAAAACATATGGGTTAGAGCAATATAGTCTATATATATCCTCAATAATAAAAAATCTCTATAAGTCCCCCATAACAACAAGTCAGACAAGTAAAGAAGACAAGTAAAGAAATTTTTCATAAATCATCATTAATTTAAATTCATCAACGTTAAAAACCAGAAATAAATAAAATCATTAATCTACTTGCAGACATTTAGCAAATGTTAAAACCTTTTCTTATTAGGGTTGCCACTCAAATCTGAAAAAAAAAATTTCCAGAGTTTCGCCCGTACATAATATACACAATATAATATGTTGCTGTTGTAATTCATTTACGTTGCACTTGAGCTGCACAATGGGTTAGTGGCGACAGTTTGGGAAACATCCTTGAGGATGATCCGAAAACTTGCCATCAAAATTTTGATCTTCTGACCCCCGCTTCGGTAGCCCGACGACCTGCACGCGAAGTTGAGCACTTTATGGTAGAACAGTTTAACGAGGACCAATACCACACACCATGGGTCCCTACGCAAACTAATTCAAGTGGTTACCCACCCGCAGTCAGTGATACTTGATTCCGGTGATCAGCTGGGAACTGTGCCATAACGATCAGTCCACTGAGCGAAACACACTTCAGGGTTCCCACTCAATTTGTGAAGGAAAAAAATTCCCTGAATTTTACAGGTAGACTTTAATGAAAATTGAGACCATATTTTCATCAGAAAACTTGGATTCTTTTATTTGTTAAGTGAAATATTAGATTTTTCTGCACAAAAAAATATTATTAAATGAGGATGGGAACATTTTAGTTTGACTAAAATGTGAAATTTTTAGAACAAATAATTGCAATAGATGTAGGAATTATTTAATTAGAATCTCAATAACTGATTACTGTTACTGACAATTTTAATACTTACTATTTTCCAGGTGTATGATATAGAAACAAAACATTTCAGGTTTTTGTAAAAAAAATTGCAACTTTCCCTGATTTTTGGAGCTGAAATAAAATTCCCCGGCGATTCCAGGTTTTCCATGATCCGTGGGAACCCTGTCACTATATATTACGAGGAAACAACAATCAGTGTACTCTTGTGTGAGCTATATTGGGCTAACTATATTCATTAGTTTTAATTGCTTGAAAAACTTAGAGGAAAAAAAAAAGAAACAGCTGAATGTACTTAAATAATGCTATAGTAAATGAAATAGTTTAGTATAGTCGAAATATCACGCTTAAATACCCCATAGCTTACACTTTAAGTGGTTACCATTTTTTAAAAACAAAATTCCCTGTTCTTGTGGAGTGGCAACCCTGAATAAAGTAAAAAGAGGGAAGAGAAAATTTCCCTTTTTTAAAATTAGAATACTAAAACGGCTATTTATTTTATTCAATATTAAAAGCATGAATATAGTTAAGCTATATTGAATCATTTTTTAGCAATCATTGTGAACAATTGGTTTTATCATAGCTGCCAACACGGATAGGAAACAGTCCAGTAGATTTTACGAAATATAAATTTCACAATAATTGTTGCAAAATATACTGAACATTTTACACATAGGGAATTTTAGGGATTTTTATGTTCATCAAAATAGAAAATTTGCAATATTTTCTCAACAAAAATCTGAATACCTATTTTTAGCCAACATCAGCATCCTGAGAGAAAGTAGAGAGTCTAAGCCACTAATGTGCTCCAACATATTTTCAGATAAATCAAGGAACTTCAGGTTTGAAAACGCTTCTAGGTTTTCAATCACAGGAATATGGTTGAGTTGCAAATTAAGTAGATGAAGTTGCTCCTCACCTTCGATAATGGGGAACCGAGATAAACTACACCTGCAAAATCAAGAAATGTTGGAAATCAGTTCCAGGGTATCAGCTACATTTTAGATTTTCAAATTCATGACTTTCCATGACTAATTCCAAGAATTTTTGATAAATTACTATTTTCTTCGCAACAATAAATTTAAAAAAGCATTATATTAACATTAATTGAAATGATAGGTATAAATACTCTGCATCTTCATATTTATAGATTTTAAATTAAAGAAACAGAGTGAAGCAATAAAAAAGCTGAAAAAATTCCAAAAGCAAATATATATTTTTTCTTTTCTTATGCAGTTTTATATTCTAATGATGCTTTTCTTGTTCATCAGAAAGGAAAGAAATACTCATGATTTTTCTGTTCTCATTTCGGAATAAAAAAAATTTGTCAATGACTGGCTTGTTTCAGCTAGAATTTTAAACTGATAAAATAAAAAAAAGTAAATAACAAAAATTTGGAAATCACAGAAGTTTAAAAGATAATTTTCTCTAGAAATGATGTTTTTTCTTTTATTTAACACCATAATCCAAGAACACCATAATTTTTGAAGAACATGATAAAAACATTTTATATTTTAATAAAATATGTTTGTTACAAATTCAGATATTTGGAACACCATGAAATGGGGGGGGGGGATTCCATTTTAAAAATTAGATCTTTCAGTGACCCAAATCCATGACTTTCATGATTTTTTGACATGATTTTTTTTAAAAAAATTGTTAAAATCATGATATTTCATGACAAATTTTGTTCAATACCAAAATTCATGACTTTCCATGAACATCCAGGTGCACAGATACCCTTTAGTTCCCAACCTGTGATACTCTAACAAAAAAAAAAAATTTCTGCTAGATAACCCTATAATCTGCCCAATTTCATCTTGATTCAATTAAACGATTGAAAAAATTTCGAATTTTATTTCTCAAGATATTTAAAGGTAATTAAACTTTCTTCACTACCTTTTTCAATTTTGTATTCTCTACAGTTAGTTAACAAATTACACCTGTCTAAATTGATTTTTAAAAAAATTGTTTGGCATAGTACTGTATGTACTAGAGCATGATTTTCCCCAGACATTTATAAAATATGTAGCTTAATATTTAACTTCATAAAATTTAATTAATTGATTCATTATTTTAGATTGAAAAGTAGTACATTGCAATTCATATCAAGCCATACCTGTCAATCAAAAGACGATCAGGGTCCAGAGTTTTGTCCTCCAATGACCTCCTAACGTAAATTTTCCCGTCATCGCTAACTCGGATGGCTACCTTGGATTTACCTATAAATAAGTTTTAGATATTTAAAATTTTGAACAACAAACAAGAATGTTTTAAGAAAAATAAAATAAAAGAAAGAATGACATCGAAACAGAAATGTTGAAAAGTAAAATAGTTAACTTATGGACAGCCTCTTATAATTTATTTAAAATTACCGTTTTAAAGTCTGAGTATATTATCTGCTAAAATGTTAAATCTTATTTTTAACTCAAAGGGATTTGTTTTAATTTTAATCATTTTTAATCCTACAAATGTTTTTTAAATTAAAATATTTAACTTGTATTTTATTATTAACTAGGTAGAATATTTTTTTTAAAAATTTAATTCAATGAACATCAAAATTTATGTTTAAATGAAATTGTGTATTACGTAGTAATATTAAAAAAAAAAAAAAAAAAAAAAAAAAGGAANAAAAAAAAAAAAACCTCCACAAATTTTCCCATTGTTTTTATTTATTTCAATTAATCTGAATTTTTTTTTTCTGATAAATTGTTTCTGATTCTGTTTTATTTCCTAAGTAAGAAGTTTTAATAGTTTTTAATTTTAAACATTTAAAAGTAGTTAATTTTATGCAAACATATTACAAGGTTAACTAATAAAAAGAATTTAGTGGCAAGAACAATGATTTTTATGTGATAATTCAACCTACAATAGTTGTCAACATGTCTGTCGAAATACTTAGGCATGTGGCCCTTCATTAGTTAATCTGCTGTGCATGTAGCCCTTCACTCAAAAAGGTTGTGCACCCCTATCTTAGACTCTCAAAGTTACAAACTTCAAACATATTATCTGTCAGGGAAGCAGGCGGATCCGAATAGTTTGAAACAGGAGCCCTAATGATTGCATCAATACAAGACATTTTAGTATCCTGCCTATGACGAATTTCAAAATCAAATTCTTGAAAAGGATACTCCAACATACAATTTAAGGGTTATATGATTTCCTAGCATTGATACAAATTGAAGTTTGGCAGTAGGTTGCTACTGTAAAACTGATGCCCAACAAAAATTGTCAAAGTCGTTCTAGTGTCATACAATTGTCATAGTCGTTCTAGTGTCAAACAATTGTCATAGTCATTCTAGTGTCATACAATTGTCATTAACTACAGCTTTACACGAATGATATTTATTCTCTGTCTCTGTAGTCTTCTTACTCACAAAGTAAACTAAATGTAATTTATCGTTTCCAAGCAGAAGCAACATACCATCCGCACATACATAGCTGTGAACTTCAGTTTTTGCTTCAGGATTATAAAGAGCCAAAATTGTTTGTTAACTCGCATTTTAAGCACCTCTTCATTGTCCTTTTCCCATTTGAAAATTTCATTCTTTTTCATCTGCTGCGCTAAATATCGAACTTTAATTGCACAGTTTGGAATAAATCTTCTGAAAAAAACAAACAAAAAAAACAAGAGATCTTCAAACATCGTGTATATTTTTAGGTTAGGGAAGTTTAGTTAGAGCTTCCACTTTTCTTTATCTCCAGACTTAATACCGTTTTTATTTAAAATAAATCCCAGATATTCCACTTCTTTCTTTCCAAATTCACATTTAGGCAATTTCGAGGTTAAATTCAAGGAGACTAGTGCTTTAAATATAGTTAACTTCCATATTATTTATTCTGACATTTCTGCTGTAACAAGTATGTGATTCAAATAACATAACACACTTTTGAAATACAGTGCACAAAAAAAAATAATAATAAATAAATAAACAGACCACCTTAAATAACTTTTGACCCATTGATCAGATTTTCATATTCTAAGACTCAATTTTAATGGCCCAAGGGGATGTTCTCAAATAAAACAACATGAATATGTCAAATTACATCTATTAGTCACAGAAATCTAACGTGAAGTGTAATGATGTAAGACTTAACAGAAGGTAGAAAAGGACTCATGTCTAAAATAAGTGGGTGTGTTAGTAACACCACAGCTGCAAGAATTAGGGATGAGAGTAGTCAGAAAATAAAAAAGAGGAAATCCAAGAATATATATATATATATATATACAGTACAGAACCCGTTATCCGGAAATCAGAAAACCGGAAAACCAAAAAACCGGAACGAAATTCGATAAATTTTCCCACCATTTTTTAAAAAAAAAATTTTTTTTCCTCATAAGATTATAGGATTTTTCTTTCTTTTTTGAAAGATGTTTACCATACCATCATTTTAGAAATAATCATTACTGTATTACTTCATCGTTTTTTCTTCTTTTTAAGATTATTTCCTAATATTTTTTTTTAGTTGGGTTTAACAATAAAAAAACGGCTTTTTGTACCGATTCAGAAAACCGGAAAAATCAGTTATCCGGAATAGCGATGGTCCCGATCATTCCGGATAATCGGTTCCCTACTGTATATATGTAGAAGCTATGATATTCAACAATTTGACAAATCCTTTTTTTTAATTTTTATTTCCAATGGCAGATTATAGACAGTAACAGCATACATAAACATTTGAATAAAAATAAGAACAGAAACAAAAGATGCTGCAACAAAGTCTATTAATCACAACATGTCTCTAGCTTCTCAATAGCGTTCAATGATAGAATTCTTGCAATTCTAACACACTTTTAAACCGTGTGCTTATAAATCTGGTCACAGTACCCAAAAAATGACCAAAACATCGAAAAATTTTTTTTTGGTTATAATAAGACTTAAAATTATTTCAAATGCACTGAAAAAAAAATGACATCTCTATCTACAGTTTTAAAAAAGTTATGAATGCTTTTACATTTCCCTAATACAGAAACTTGCACAGCAGACAGACTTTAAAGTGCTTTTTCACATAGATGATAATTTTAGGTTTTAATCTTAATTAAATACCAAAGGAATTTTTTCTATTCAAGATAAAAGTTTTGAAGTAAACTTTTTTATCTTAAGTATAATACATTTATTTAAACTGTGCATGGAATAAGCATTTTATGAGATATTACAATTTTTACTGCATGTTATATATACCTAACAGGAATTTTTAACCTTGTTTTACAAAATAATCAATAAAAAATATTCTAATTGTTATTTCAACAAACAAATGCACAACGTTGTTAAGATGAATATTGTAAGCACTAAGAAAAAAACATTTTTTGAAAATATGTTAAATTAAAAAAGCCTTAGGGATTTAAAAATATTGAACTTTTTCAATTATTTTTAAAATTTAAAAAAAACTAAATAGTTTAATTATTTTTTGAAGATAAATTATTGATTATAAGTTAAATGTGCATGTAAAGCACCTACAAAATGAATGATTATACCTTTATTTAAAAAAATTATTGCAAGGGTACTGCGATCCCTTTAACATTGTATGAATATGAATCACATAAATATGAATCGCATGCATGATCTTAAAATCGAGTGAATAAGTATTGCAATACTTGATTTTAAACTGAGAGAATATGAATTCAGTTATGTGGCTTTTAAATCATGTTAATATGAAACTCGATATTGAATTTAGAAAATGTGAAAATACAATTCATTATGTGTAAACAGGAAGCAATGACGTCTGAATAACAAAAATACGAGCTATTTGGCGGGCGGGTAAAAATATTGTAAATCTTATTTTCTGCAAGTAAAAGAGGAGAAAATAGCTAAAATAAGTAAAAATGAGGAAGGGTTAGCAGCTACGACGTAGTTTGAATTTTCTGTTTACAGGGGTCTGTCCAGACATTTTGTGAAAGGTCCGTTTTTCGTGAAAAAATTGCTCACATTCTTTCAATCAGAGTCCACTTTTATGAATTGGTGCAAATAGGGTCTGCTATTGCGAAAAAAAAGTTTTTCAAGGAGTTTTTAAATTGTAAAGACATACAAGATTATGCTCAACACTGTAAAATTATAATTAAAAAAATAAAATTTTAAAAAATAAACAACAATTGCTGCTTCTAAATTAGAGATGCAACATACAAATATTTGGTATTTAGCCTATACTGAATGCAGAATATTAATTTCGGCGAATAATGGAAGAATTGTCTTCCGAAGACAAAACTTAATTCGTTTACATCCATCTTTCTTGTTTTCTGCCCTGGAAAGGGTTTATTCGATTAACAAAATAATAATGAAGATAAACAAATATGTGAAGGGTCCGATTGAAAAAAAAATCATTTTGTGAAGGGTCCGTTTTTAAGTTAAAATATTTTGTGAAGGGTCAGTTTTCATGAAAAGATATTTTGTGAAGGATCCGTTAACGGACCCAAATTTCTTCTAAACAGACCCCTGGTTTATCTTTGAAAAATCGGAAATAAACATAATTATTTTATTTCATCGACTGAGTCTTTAGAAAAAGCGGAAAATTTATATAAAAAAAAAGTAAAACTTTTGGAAATTTGGAGGTTTTGAAAAAAAAAAGAAAGCTGAAATTCGAAAAAAAAAAACTGAAATTCGAGAGACAAAAAGCGGAAAAATCTCATCCCTAAAGAATAGAAATGTAAATATATTTTTTATTTGATAAATATCTTCTGTTGATATTTCAAAATAAATTTTAATTTTGAATAATTCAAATGTGTCTATTTTAAGTTAAGCTTTTGGATTGTATTAAGCTATTAAAGAGGGGGAAAAACTGATCCCAACAGGAAGAAATCAAGAGAAAATTCTAAAATCAATAAGACTAAAGCAGACCATGAAATTTTTTGAAATTAGGCAAACAATTTTAAAAATATTAATAAAATGAAGGCTGACCTTGTATTTCACTAAATCTAGACCTTCCAGATAATTTCCTAGAAAGGACCCACTGTGACCTGTAAGAGGAGGCATTGACAGGGGAGGATGAAATCGATGTAGATGTCGCCGTGTCCTCCACCTTTGACAGAGAAGTGCAGGCATCGTAAGATGTCGAGGACACAGGGCTGGATGATGCTCGGCTGGATCCTCTGGATGGAGATGGGGACTGGTTTCTGTGCAGAGATCCTCCTCCCTGGACATTTTTTATATCATCTGTAAGATAAAAATATAAAAGTATCTGTGCAAACAATCCAAAGGTATCTGCAAGTTCATAATTGAATAATTTTATTAAATATACAAAAACATTTAAATATTTAATATTTTTATTTATTACTGGCAAAATATATATATACATGCACATGAACATTAAGAACTTTAGAGAAAGATTAATATTAATAGTTATACAGGGTGCATAGCCAAATTATTTCAGAAAAAATAAGCCCATCTTAAGCACTTTGACGGTTTTATCTTGTTTTAACCATCATGCGAAAAAAAAAAATTGGCATTGTTTTTGACGATTGTCAAAAATCATGAAATTTTGAATCGTGTAAAACGAATACCGTTTTCATACGCCACGGACTGACAATACGCCGAAATATATTAGGGTTGAATTAATTATGAACACGTTGAATAGAACAATGTGAACTGCGTCTTTTTGCATAATTCAAAGCGAAAATCAACATAGTAAAGAAAAATCTCATTTTGAAAAGGAGAAAATTAAGCACTTTTTAAAAACATCCAATTAAAAAAGCACCTTTAAGAGCTTTTAAAAAATAAAAATCGAAAATAAGCACCTTTAAGCACTTTTTAAAAACGCTACGCATCCTGTTATACATAGAACATGCATTAAGAATATATAAACTCAATTCTGTCGTCACCGAATGGACTTAGACATCCAAAAGTGATTATTTTATTTTTTTCTGTGTTTGTTTATTACTTTTACTTATTGTATTAAATTCATAAATTTATTATCATTATTATAGCAAAAGGGTAGGGGAAAAAAACTGTGTTCTGGGGAAACATTTCTCTGACATTTTTTTGCACTTCTGTTACATGGTGGGCCAAATTAATCAGGCATGTTATTGAAAAGAATAAAAAAAGGAGAAAAGAATATAAATGATTCCTGTAATATGTTGGATTAATTATTTCAATTGTTTACACTGTTTAGTAACACTTTTTAGTCCTGCACTTTACATTTTGTTCAGTAGTCACATAATTACAAAAACCTTTTCGTTAAATAACAAAATCATACACTGCGAATTTTAAGTGAGTGTTTTATAAAATGCAAAACTGCTAACTATTGTAAGAAAAGGACTTTACTTAATATTATTATCGAATTAGATGACTGCGTAGAACAATTCTAAAGGTATTAGTTAAAAAAAAATTCTTGCTACCCACTATTTTCATGAAAAACAGCATTAACAGTTGTAGAATAAATTATTTGCAGATTAAAACAATAAAAGTATGTAGAAACTGAAAAATTAAACATGGTGCATAGCCAAATCTTTCAACAAAAAATAAGCACCTTTTGAGCATGCAAAAAATATTTTTAAACACTATATTTATTAACAAAATGCAAAATAATTTTCAAAGACCTTAAATGATCATGATAAAATAACTAGTTTCTGAGAAAGAGCTCTTTTCGTGATAATATTAGTCTGCATAAAAAGATCGAGAGATTTTTCGGTTCTATTTCAGAGGGTGGAAAATGGTGGTTGAAAAGAAGAATATCTTGCACGTTCCAGCAGAGTTGCACAAGAGAGTGTTAGAATCTCACCGAACCCAGCAGAGTAGACGCACAGGCGGAACTGCATTAATCAAACATGTAAAATGATTGGTGCTGCCATAAGCTACGGACCGACGGTACCCCTAAATGGATTGTGGTGGAATGAACTGTGAAAACCACGCTTTCGCATAATACGTGGCCAAAATCGATGTGGTAACGAAAAAAATCTCATTTTTGATAAGGAAAAATTAAGCACTTTTTAAAAACACCCAGTGAAAAAAGCACCATTAAGTGCTTTTAAATAACGAAAATAAGCATCTTTAAGCACATTTTTAAAAACGATATGCAGCATGTAATAGAATAGTTAATAGAAATGTGTAGAGTATAAGCAGGTTTTTCTTAAAAAGCAGTCATAATATGAAATGAACAAAACAAACCTGCTCTTGTTTGAAACTTTCTTCGAGGAGATGCTTTTGATTGGGTTTTAGATGCAACTTTTGAAGTGGTCTGAAAATAAAAGAATTTATTTAGTCTTAAGAAAATCATATTTTATTTTTCTAATATTTACATTATAGCACAAAATATTTAAGGTGTACTAAAAGAGGTTTTTCTGGCTTTGTCACGCTGTCTTAGGACCATTCTCATGACTACGCTTTAGAGCATACTTAGGTTCCTTCTGCTACATTAGTGCATTGAAGCTCTAAGGTGCATAAGACTTTTTATGTACCTCTCTGGCAGGCTTTTTTCGAGCTATCTGCGCCAAAACTCTCTAGCACTAATATCTTTTTGCAAGATACTTTCAATAATAACAAACATATATGTTACTAATTTAAAATAACAAATGCGCTCTTCGCATTTTGTAAATAATCATCACAGTAAAAAAAATAATAAATAAAATAAAAATCCTGAAATAAAGAGTAGTAATTGCCGAACAAAAGAACGACGACGATGTGCTAATCAGACTTCTCCGATGCGTGTTTCGTTTCGAGATTAGATTGCTGTAACAAATAATATTGTACAAAAAATAACGGATTTAAAACTATGCAGAAATCAATAGCAATAACTGCATAAAATTCGATAGAATCATTGCCTTAAAAGTATTTACTCAAATACATGATTTGAATTTTTCGTATTGTTTGAAATATATCGGGAAATTCACATGAGAATCAATATCAATAACTGCCGAAAATACAATCGAAACAGTACATCGATTCACTCTACTATCGCGAAAAATTGAGCGCGTCAAAAAGTGATTACCTAAAGGCATGATTAAAATATTACGTGTAAACGTTTGAAGAAAAGTAATTATTTTCACTCTTCGAAAGAAAAATTGTTACGCAAGAACTCTGTAACATTCTGTGATAATGTCGCCGTGCCGCTGCGATTCTGCCTCGGGGTTATGTACCTTGGATCATGGAAAGAATACTCACAGAGCCTATTTGTAAAACTATTCATACAATTTACTTAATAAAACCAACATACCTGCTTATTTTTATCAGTTGAATTCACTTTTCCCTGGCCTATCACGACGCTAAGCCCAGAGACTTGAATGTCTGCCTATAAAGATTAGAGTAGTGTTTAGGGGGTGTTCATTACTATATGAAACAATTTGGTGGACATAAGAAAATATAATTTTTTTTTTTCATGCTGTAGTTAAATTTGGTACACTTTTCCTTTTTACAAAAATGTGGTTTTGCTTGATATTGATATGTTACACCCTGGGTTGGGTTTTGGACATCCTAAACTGGTTTTGGAAATGACACACGGGTTTTACTGTCTTAAAGTGCCCAAAACCTTGAACATTTAAAAAAATTTTATATGTATAACCATTGTACATATATTAATAAATATTTGATACTTTATTTTGGTTTACTTTTACTTTAAATTATTAAAGGAAAATAATATAATGTAATATAATAGGAAGATATTAATAACTTTTGAAGATGCACAATTCACCTAATAACAAAAGTGAATACCTTATCCCTTAAGTATGTTTTTAATATTCCGGGGTGCGGAGTAGACCTACCTCCTCGCTCAGATATTTTGCGAAGGGTTCGTTAAATTTCTTCTAAACAGACCTCTGATTTAGTAAAATAAAATATTAAAATACAAAATTATTGAAAAAGAAACTGTCAAAACTTGAGTATCTAATATATTTACACCATTCAATNTAACAAAAGTGAATACCTTATCCTTTAACTATGTTTTTAATATTCTGGGGTGCGGAGTAGACCTACCTCCTCGCGGTGCACCCTGGAAACGTATCCTTATACGGCTAAGTGGTCTACAACTTTCGGCATGTTAACTATTTATTTACAAAACAAAAAACAAAAAAACAATCATCATTTAATATCAATAAGAATGAAGACAAGATGTTTGTAAATATAGAAATATTTAGAATACTACATTTGGAATTTAAACTAAAGGAAACTTGGAAAACTTAGTTCGTTTTGAACCGTCTTTATTTTCTCCTCTCCCCGAGAAAGGTTTATTCAATAGACAAAACAATAATGAAGATAAACGAATTTGAGAAGGGTCCGATTAAAAGATGAACTATTTTGTGAAGAGTCCGTTTTTATGGAAAGATATTTTGTGAAGGGTCCGTTAAATTTCCTCTAAACAGACCTCTGATTTAGTAAAATAAAATATTAAAATACAAAATTATTGAAAAAGAAACTGTCAAAACTTGAGTATCTAATATATTTACACCATTCAATGCACTAAATTTAAATTTAGAAAAAAAATAAATTAGAAAAAAAAAATACATAGCATTATTTTAATCTTAAGTTCAGTCATTACCATCCTCAGCCTGTAATCACTATTAAAACTTTTCAGATGGCTGGTAATAAAATTTTACTCTATAATTTGTCTATGGTAAGAACTCCCCCCGCCACAAAGTCTGAGGCCGTCTGCTGCTATGGGAATGAGAACAGCATATTTCAGGGAGGGTAGCTTCTCTTCACTCTAGGGCTAACACACATAGAATGAAGAAAAAGATCCCCTTTTTTTCGGCAATGAGCCAAACCTCCCCTAAACAGTGACCCCACACTTAACAATAAAGATGAAAATAAGAAATAGAATTCCCTGTACTTTCCTAGTTTGTAAAGAAAAAAAAAATCAAAATTCCCTGTGCTTTCCTAGTTTGTAAAGAAAAAAAAAATCAAAATTCCCTGTACTTTCCTAGTTTGTAAAGAAAAAAAAAATCAAAATTCCCTGTACTTTCCTAGTTTGTAAAGAAAAAAAAAATCAAAATTCCCTGTACTTTCCTAGTTTGTAAAGAAAAAAAAAATCAAAATTCCCTGTACTTTCCTAGTTTGTAAAGAAAAAAAAAATCAAAATTCCCTGTACTTTCCTAGTTTGTAAAGAAAAAAAAAATCAAAATTCCCTGTACTTTCCTAGTTTGTAAAGAAAAAAAAAATCAAAATTCCCTGTACTTTCCTAGTTTGTAAAGAAAAAAAAAATCAAAATTCCCTGTACTTTCCTAGTTTGTAAAGAAAAAAAAAATCAAAATTCCCTGTACTTTCCTAGTTTGTAAAGAANAACCTTGTTAGATGAAGAAGGTCTTTCTACAGCATTAGTTGGTGTTGAAGCCGCATTAAATAGTCGACCGTTAGTTTATGAACAAGGAAATGATGATCCTGAAGAATCATTAACACCATCCCATTTTCTTACCGGTAAAAGACTTACAACCATACCTTCACAGCCTGCAGCATCAAGTAGAAATCTGACAAAATTGTACAGGCAACAACAGGATTTATTAGACGCATTTTGGAAGAAATGGTCTAAGGACTATCTATTGCAATTAAGATCTTTCCACCAAGTTCGTAACGTTCAAAAATCTTCTCATGTTCGTGTTGGAGACATAGTACTACTTCACGAAGATGTAAGACCACGACATACGTGGAAAAGAGGATTGGTAACCGGACTAATTAAAGGACGTGATGGAAAAGTCCGGACTTGTACTTTACGATCTGAGGGCAAGGAAATCTCCCGACCTGTTCAACTGATCATTCCTCTTGAGGTTGATCAGGGTGGGGAGGATGTTCCAGACGCAACTGCGTGAACGCAGATGCAGTGATTATTTATTATATTATTTATTTTATATATTTCTTACATTATTCTTTTGTTGGCAACATGTATATATTTTTTTGTGTACATTTGTGATAGTAAAAGAGTTTGTTCTATAAGATACTTGTTTAGTGTTGATTGTAATTAGAAAACATTTACGTTTACAACCAACACAACCATCCTCTGTCTGTAATCACTATTAAAACTTTTCAGATGGCTGGTAATAAAATTTTACTCTATAATTTGTCTATGGTAAGAACTCCCCCCGCCACAAAGTCTGAGGCCGTCTGCTGCTATGGAAATGAGAACTGCACATTTCAGGGAGGGTAGCTCCTCTTCACTCTAGGGCTAACACACATAGACCGAAGAAAAAGATCCCCTTTCTTTCGGCAATGAGCCAAACCTCCCCTAAACAGTGACCCCACACTTAACAATAAAGATGAAAATAAGAAATAGAATTCCCTGTACTTTCCTAGTTTGTAAAGAAAAAAAAATCAAAATTCCCTGTACTTTCCTAGTTTGTAAAGAAAAAAAAAATCAAAATTCCCTGTACTTTTCTAGTTTGCAAAGAAAAAAAAAATCAAAATTCCCTGTACTTTCCTAGTTTGAAAATAAAAAAAAATCAAAATTCCCTGTACTTTCCCAGTTTGTAAAGAAAAAAAAATCAAAATTCCCTGTACTTTCCTAGTTTGTGAAGAGAAAAAAAAATCAAAATTCCCTGTACTTTCCTAGTTTGTAAAGAAAAAAAAATCAAAATTCTCTGTACTTTCCTAGTTTGTAAAGAAAAAAAAAATCAAAATTCCCTGTACTTTCCTAGTTTGTAAAGAGAAAAAAAAAAAAATTCCCTGTACTTTCCTAGTTTGTAAAGAAAAAAAAAATCAAAATTCCCTGTACTTTCCTAGTTTGTAAAGAAAAAAAAATAATCGAAATTCCCAGTACTTTCCTAGTTTGTAAAGAAAAAAAAAATCAAAATTCCCTGTTATTTTAGGTGATTTTAAAATTCCCTGTATTTTCCAGGTTTCCCTTGCTCTCCCTGTGGAGTCAGAATTAAACAGTTTATGAAGATTTGCTATGCTAATAATATTTATGAAAACTAATAATTATTAGGCTATAAAGACAGAACAAAATTAAAATGTCTATGGGGTAAACACTAAAGAAAAGTGTTACCTCTTTAGGAACTTTTGTGGATTTATCATGGTTTTTTCGTGATTGCATCGATGGCCACTTCTCTTTTCATTACAGAAACTTCAATAAAAGAAAATGTCCTTTTCTTTTTTTTCTAAAACAAATCATATCTTCAACTTCCATTAAACCAATACTTAACAATTGATAATTTTCAAGTTTAATAATCTTAAGAGGTCTATAGGTTCGTACACCAGGAGTTGGCACTTTGCTCAGCCTTCATCACATGCTATCCGACGATACTATTTCGTTATTTTTGGAGTAGGATGTGAACATTCCTGCACAAGATAAATATGTGGCTATCGTATGACAAAAATATTTAGCAATCTTTGTGTGTATTTTTTTAACATTAAATATTTCATTAATGTGATGACATTTCTCTCTCTTGAGTGAATAGTTTGCCCTTTTTAGAAATTTTGCTGCATTATATTTAATTGGTTAGAGTAACAAAACGTGTAATAGCAGATGATAAAGCGAAGTAAGTGATTGAAAAATAATTCACTGTCTTTGTTTGGCGCACATTAAGGGTTGTCTCCATTTCAAGAGCGGAGACTTTCTCCTCCTACTCCTGCGCTGAAACGAACTATTTGTCCGAAGAGGTGGAGCCGTCAGGGGTCTGTCCAGGACAAATTTACTGCAGTTTAGTGGTACTTTCAAAAATTCTATTTCAGGAAAACGGTAGTTTCACAAAATACTTTTAACATATTTTTGAAAAATATTTTCTAATTTAGCCATATTTTTGTGTAGATTTTTTAATATAATTTTTAAATTTCACAAATTATGACTAAATTTTCACAAAATAGGTAGGTACCTCTAAAAAAAAACTTGACAGACCCCTGTAAGTGCCAACTCCTGGTGAGTGAACTATAGGGGGTTTTGATCTCATCAGCATACAACTTTTTTTAAAACTAAATCTAATAATTAACTTATAAATCTGAATTTTTTTTTACAGAAATTAAACATAACACAAACAATACATAAAATACACTTTCGTTTAATATCACAAAAATTTTTTGAATTTGATTTTTTTTTAAAGAAAAATATCTCTTAAAATTATTTTTCTTTTTTTACTCTCTAAATTAAAAGCAACATGCTATATTCAAACTAAATACTAAGTTTTAATTAAAAAAAATATTTTAGAATTTGAGTAATCCTGCATGCTAGAATTTAATGAAGAAAAAATTTAAATTGAGAAAAATGGATTAAAGACAAAACTTTAATAACTTTGAACAATAGACATGAGTTAGATATTTTACTTCTACAATTGCAGGCTAACTTTGTCCAGAAACACCAAATCTAAACAGAATTTGTCAACTATGATAGCTTAAAATCACAAAATGAAATAATTTAATTCTTAAAAACTTCAATTTTTAATCTCTCTCTATATATATATATTTATGCATGTATAAATCTTTAGCATATATATATCTAAAGTATCTATATATAGTAAGGCAAAAAATATATAGATTAATGATAGCAAATTGCCTACTTTATTTATTACAAAAAAGTTAAAATTTAAATAATATTTAAGTGCTAATTTATCAAATGAAGAAAATTTTTATCAACACTCATGAAGGTTTAAAATAATTGATATACGATTTTCAATGTGCATAGGCAACGTGCGTCTCAATAATACACTTACAATAAATATTGTCATTCAATTTATTGTAATGAGTTGAAGAATGCAAAAGCAAATGAATATTTTTCTTTTAATGTTACATCAGTTTCGACCAACGAGTAAGGTTTCGACTAATGTTTGATGAAAAGCAAGATTGACACTTGAAAACATAACACCGCACATAAGCCCCACCCTTGAGTAATGGATGGTGTTTTCTACACAAGGTAGCGCTGCAGGATCTTTACTGCCGATTGAGAATGTGTCCGTGCTTGGCATACAAAGACTAGTATTTTTGGTGGCCAAGATCTTAACCGATAAGTTCCAAGGAGTAGTCAGGGAATTTGAACCAATGAGAAGGAAGAGATGTAAACGTAATAATGAGGGGAAAACTGGTTCCCTACGCCAGAAACGCTAAAATTTCTTTCCATGGTGCAAACCAAACGGAACTCGTCGCCAACTTGCCGTCACTGTTTTGGAGTGGTCGGCGGAAATCTCTTTCTCGGTCTATTGTGTTAGTCCTAGAAGGGAGCTACCCTTTCTGAAACGTGACATTCTTGTTTCCATAGCACAAGATTCTGGCCTCAGACTTTGTGCAGGGAAGAGTTCTTATCTTAGAGAAACTTACTTCATCAAAAGCTGAAAATTTCGCAGCCAGTTATGAGTTCATAGGTTTGCAACATTTGGCAGTTTGTTGTTATTTACAATTTGCAGAGGCGTCAAAAAATTTTAGCGTTGCGCAAGCGCATTTGATCAGTTGGTTCTACGTAAAGACACTAGTTACCGCTAAAAAAGCTGCTGTGGCCAAATCTTGTAAACATGAGCAACGATTAAGCGATAACGATGATAAAATGAGCTAGAAAAATTTATCAATTTAATTATTAGTCGTGGCTGCTAAGCAACATCCAAATAAATATGTGAATTTGGGAGCGAGATTAATGTATTAAGAGCTGTCAAATAAAAATTAAATAGGAACGGCGAACTTTGCAGGTTAATAAAATGTCGGGTCCTCCAAAAGAAAAAACTAGAGATGAAATAGATATGAAGCTTTTAAGAGAATTGGCTGCATTGCCGTCAAATAAATTTTGCTTTGATTGTGGGCAAAGAGGACCTACTTATGTTAATGTTACGATTGGTTCTTTCGTATGTTCTTCCTGTGGTGGACTTTTGTAAGTTTTCTTGTTATTTTCATTCTCATAATATTTTTTTTTCAAAATGTTTCCGAAAGTCACTTCTAGAATAATTTGTTAGCCATTGTGCTAATTTTGTCTTATTGTTTGCAGACGTGGTTTAAATCCTCCTCATCGCGTTAAATCATTAACAGTATGTTCATTCACGGAGGTAGAAATGGACCGCATTAAAAGCAGAGGAAATGAGGTAAGTGTTACTTAATTTTTTCTGACTGAATCATTGCAAATGTTTGACATCTGTTCCCCGAATAAATCTGCTACTTATGTCCTTGTATACATTTTTTGTTAACATTTCAATTATATAGATTACTAATTCTCTCTTGAAGGTTTTGTGGGGAGAGTTGCTATCAACAATGTCAACTTTCATCTATGAAAAGTTACCCCCGCTATAGAATCGAGTTAACATGTCTTATATACTAGTGCATTGAAATTTTGTAGTGACAGTACTCTCCCGCCAGAATTATATCTGTGATAGAATTCAATACAGGGATACCACTAGTTGATTCAATGCTGTTTTGTGAGAAGCTGGGAGAGCTGTATTAAGTTCACTCTCATGGTCACTGCTGTGTTGCCTTTAGCAGTCGGATGTATGCGTTGTGTGTGATCTAGACTAATTAGCAACAGCGCGAGGAGGTGGATAACGACACCGTCACATGTAGCAAGTCAACTGTTCAATATGGACCATCTATCGAAGTAGGCGTGTACAGATGGAAGTGGGAATTTCTGTCAAGATAGGTGTGTTCATATCGAAGTGGGAGTTTCTCTGTTTCTTTCAAGATGGAAGTGTTCAAATCACAATCGAAGGTCAACAATGTGGGGATAGTAGTTATCGACAATGTAAACCTTCTTTAATGAAAAGGTACCCCAACATGGAGTCGAGTTAACATGTCTCATATACTAGAGAAATGAAATTGTAATTTTGTAGGGGTAGACGCACTACAAACATTTTATTTTTTTAAGTATTGAAAGCTAAAGAACCCTTTAGCACCTTGTTAAAGGTAGTAGACGCAAACGCATACCAATACGGGAATAGTCTTCAGTAAAAATATCCGCATTTATCGTAGCAAAATCATGTGTCCTAGTTAAGACCATAATATGAAAACGGGAATATTTTAAATTCTAAAATGTATGCACCTTATCATTTTGATTCACATTCTTCCTATTTTTTCTAACTCTTCTGGAGTTCTAAGTCATCTTTGTTTTTTTCTTGAAATTATATTCAACATTTTTCATTCAACAAACTTAAATTTTTTAGGACTAAAAAATTGAACTAATTAATAAAACTAATTAAACTTAGAAAAGGTTCAACTTAACGTTTTATATTTCAAATCACTTTTATTTCTCCTCATTCACACCTGCTTAGTTTTGAACATGGGTGCCTATTTCTGAGCACTTATAATATGTCTACTTTAATTTACGTCTGTATATTTTTGAAGCAAATGAAGTTTTTTAATAAAGTAATATTTTATAGCTTCAGTTTCTTGGGTTTATTTATTTAATTAATGTGATAAATTTTATTTGGAGGACTAATATATTGACTAATATAAGTATAATGTAAATTAAATTTTAAAAATATATTAGTACAATACACATCTTAGCTTCTCATTTATCAATACGAACTAATGCTATTGCCAGAGAAAACTCTGAAATGCACACAGTCCTTATGACCAACTATTTTGTGTGCACAAATTAAAAATAAAAAAATAACTGTATAGTTCACTTCATATCTTACTTTTTCACAGGTTATTATATAATTTGATTTAGTTGCTTTTGTAATGTGAGGAAATAAATCTATTTAAAATATCATTAATTTATTGAACTATTTTGAACATATTTTAATGTTAAGTATCTCATTATGCCTATGTGGTTACTAACAGGGCAACTAAAATATGACTATTTGCAACTATTTTCGGCCTGAGGCGACTGTCAACTTTTTTTGCCAGAAAAGGCTGAAAAAGCAACTGTTTTTAAGTAAAGGAAACTTTTCTGTACTCCTAGGGATGTTTTTTAGTACCATGGAATGGGTTAACTGCCTGTGGCTTCCCGGGATTTTCTGAACACAATTAAAGAAAATAAAAAATTTTGTATTGCATATTTGAGCTATCACTTTACAATACACATATCAATTTCAATTAACACATATTTTGTTGTAGGTCTATTTTGTTTCTCAATCGCCTTTTCAAAGGTTATTGTTACAAAATTCTGCATGATATTTTTAAAAAACAAATTTTAATAAGATATTACGATGCATGTATTTCGTATTTGAGTAATCACTTTTTATAATATATCTGTATACTATTTATTTGATAAATCAATTATTGATAAAAATGAAAATTTTTTAGAGAAAGTATGTTCTTTTTTTTTTAATGAAAAAGGTTTTTTTTTAATGAACTCTAGTAATTAAAAGTATTTAATTTTCTGCAAACATGCTTATTATTTTTTTTATGTAAAACTTTAGAGCTAAATCACTAATGTTTGCATAAAAATTATTATCATATTTGCTACCAACTTGTCTAAATAGATCATGGTATTTGTCATTCAGTCATCTGTATTATATAAAACACTAATATGTATGTATCAATAAAACCGATGATATTTCTTTTCTCGCATTGGCAACAGTTTTCATTTTTAATTAATGGACTTTGGCCCGCAAGAGCATGTAGTGAGCATCATATGGCTAATCTATATTATATAAAACTCTAATACGTTTTAATTGATAGGCTTCGGCGCGCAAGAGCACGTAGTGAGAATCATATGTCTAATCGGGTGAATTCTCATCGAATTATCAAAAAATTTCTCACAAAATTATCTTCATCAAAGCCGATGCTTTACATCCGATGTTCAGTACTATTTCATAGTGTTTTTACAACACATGGTTTTAGCCCTCTGGTGGGTAAGACTTTAAAAAAAAACTTTCAACAGTCACTTTTCTCAACAACTGAAATTTAGAATAGTGTGATTAAGAAAAGTATGTGAATTGTTTGCAATTTCAAATTAATATTGAAATGCACAGGTTTAGAATCTTCTACAGTGAAAAGTTTTCGGAACTTCAGTGTTCAAAAAAGTATACAAAAGCTAGACGTTAAGAATGTATCCAATGAGCGAGTAAAGCGAGCATTGGATTGCAAAGCAATCCGAAATGAACTGCGAAAGCAGTTCTGAGGGTTGGTGAGCGCCAGCGAGCAGGGGGTGAAGCCTCCTAGTATTATTTATTATTATAATAGTAAGTCATTTAGTCATATTATTGAAAAAATTTATTAGGAAATTTTTTAACCAACTATTTTCATGCTTTAGGTTACTGAAAACAACTATTTTGTTCATTTTTTTTGTGGCAACCCTGTACTAATTGTTGAGAACACTGAAATTTAATATTGAAATTATAGCCAGACAATATTATACTAATTGAAAATGCAGCTAATAAATCAGACAGTTCAGTAAAAATAAATCTAAACCAAATTTTCTTTGCACTAAATGTCTTTTATACCTACTTAACTGGATATGGTAACTCTGCTCTAATATTATATCTGTATAATATTACTTTCTCTTAATTTTTAATATATATAAGCAGAGAACTAATTTTTATTTCATAGTTTACCTAATTATTATTATTTTTAAATGTAAATAACTGCACCAATCTATTAAAACTTTTCTTTGATAAATCATGAACTGTTTTATATTAACCTTTACATTACTAAATTACAAGATATTTCAATTTATATAAATATTTCATTAAAACTTGATGTTGTAAATTTAATTAAAAATAATAAGCTTATCAATGTATAAATTAGAATAGAAAACTGGATATTAATAAATTTAACTGAGCTATAGGTAATAATTTTAAATTAATAACTTACAGTTTAATCATTTAAGGGTCTAAAAGCTTAATATGGTAGATAAACTTATAAAAAAAATGATCAAACTTTACAATTACATAATTTGTGTAATGGTGCACATCCCCATGACAGAATCGCAGCAACACGGCAGCATTGTCGCAGAATGATACATAATTCTTGCAGAAAGATTTTTCCTTTGGGGAGTAAAAAATTTGGTTTTCTTTTCTGCAGGAATTTTTCAAAGATTTTCTCTTTTCTTCAGAACTATATTCAAAAGATGTCTTTCTTGCTCAATGGAGTGGGAAAAAAAATTTCATTGTTCTCATATGAGAGTAATGAAAAATAAAGAATAATGATGTAAAAAATTTGGTTTTCTTTTGTACAGAAATTTTTGTTCTATTTTTTTATTCAGTAATTAATCTTGATTTCCACTTAGTTTTTCAAATCCTATATTTTTAATACAATATTATTTATTACAACTGAATCTCAAAAAGAAAACACATTTAGTAACCCCTTTTTGAAGAGTCAGATTGGTGTGATTTCGCTCTCTATCCTACCTTTTTTTCTTTTTTTTTTTATGGTTGTTACTTCTATGGATTTCATTATTTTCTATTCTTTTAATGTGATGATATACAAAATTAAAACAGGAAAATAATTATATTTTATTGCCTATACCTATTAATACCTTTATTTTATTATTAATTTGATACTCTTTTTCATTACAGTACTGCACACATATATGGCTTGGAAAATACGAGGCTAAAAATGAGAACATTGATCTCTCTAGTCCAGACAAACGAAAGGATTTTATGACATTGAAGTACGAGGAAAAAAAATTTTATGTTGATCCAAGAGAAGCAATTAAAAAAATGAAACCACGTGCACCAGCTGCTCCAAGTAATTCTTCTGTTCCAAGAAGTCAAACAGTGATGCCAAACATGCAGATTCAGGTTTGAATTTTATTTATAAAAAAGTGTAATGATGGGAATAGCAGAATTCTGTGTATCATAAGATTACTGGTTCAAGTATCAAAATCTTATAATTCGATGAAATGTTCTGTTAAATCCACTTAACGAAATTTATACATACGTATGATTCTTCCTGCCAATTTGATTATTTTGTTTTGGCGCTATTTTGAATATTTGGAACTTGCTAATATCGCGATTCATATTCATGCGATTATAATATCAAACACCGGTTTTTGTATTTACCTGATTTAAAACTTATGCCTTGTGATGCTTATTTTCACGGTTTCTTTTTCATGTAAGTTTAAAATCCAATGTCGTAACTCGTGTTTATCATATCAAAGATCGTTTTTCATATTTATACGTGATTTAAAAACTACGCATCGTGATTCGTAATTACGCAATATAAATATTCTCTATTGAATTTGTATTTTCACATTTTTAAAATTCAATACTGTGATTCCAGTAAAAAGGCTTGTTCTTAAACTAGTTAAAAGGTGTGATATTTTTCATAAGTAGATAATTTAATTATAAACGTTAGTTAAATAAAATTATGTTAAATATAAAATATGTATGGTATATGAATTGATATCAATTATTTGCACATAAAATTTTCAGGGTTTTTCCATTCGTGTCACAATCAGCCCTGGTTACATTTTAGCATACTTATAAAACTAAGCTTGAAAAGAATATTTTTATTTTGTTGATTTCGTGTGTAAAATTGTTTGTGCTTGATGTTTGTGTGCATATGTATATATAATTTTCTTCATATTAACTGATGCCAGAACCATTTTTTGTTTGTTTCTCAAAAGAATATGATATTGTTGTTTCCTTTTGTTTCGGAGAATCTAAGGCATTTTTATTCTAAAAATTAAGCTTAACCCACCTGAGATAAGAGATTGTGCGCAAATAATGTTGTTTTGCTTTATTAATTCACTTGATTTGATTTTTAGAGACCAGGAGTCTCTCAAGCATTCTCTGCTGGAGATATTAGCAATGCCGTCCCAAATGCAGTCAAGGCTTTTACCAAAGATCCATTTCAAGAAATTAGGAAAGGTACACACATTTCAGCAATTACTTCTTGACACACTCTATTTGCACTAAATCCGTGCAATGTTTCTTGGCATTTATTGTTTTTTTTAAATCCTGATATTACTGGATCAAGGGTCTGACCAGGCCAAATTTACTACCGTCTAGCGGTACCTTCTCAAATTTAACTTTAGGAAAAACAGTAGTTTCACAAAATACTTTATCTAAAAATGTTATTTTTGTATCCCGTATGAAACGATAAATCCATATTTTTGTGTTGATTTTTTAATATAATTTTTAATTTTCACAAAATGGGTACCTCTCAGAAAAACCTAGAGACACCCCTGTAGATATGGGAATTGTGCACCTGCGTAACTACGATTTGTTGCAGTTATCACTACTGATTTTTGCTTAGTTGTAAAATCTCTACATCTTTAATGCTATGTTATTTGCGCATATTTTTCAAAAATCTCAATATTTTTTTATATTATTTATTATAACATGAATCTCACAACACATAGATTTATTTCAATGTGATTTCGTTGTTCATGTGGTTTTGTTCTAAATAGACTCATTTTTTTTAATCATCAATCATTTTTCGGCTGTATCCTAAAATTTTACAATTTTTAAAATCTTTTGTTTTTTTATGCAATGACTACTTGCAAAGTGAGAAATTTATTATTTTTTTTCACTAAATATGTTCTTTTTGTGTTGAGTTGAAAAAAATTATTAGATAGGAAAAAAAAATTTGCTCTTAAAAATTTTAATTATTACTTATGTGCATAAATATGAGTATTTTATCTTCTATGTGAAAAAAAGAAGAAAAACTAAGTATTTAAAAAAATATGAGAAAAAAATATCAGATATTTTCTTTCAGCAGTCATTTGTCTAATTTATGTAAAATTAATTGCAAAAGTAATCTTTGACAATGCAAATGTATAATTTACACAATATTTGATAACTTAAGGAAGATAAAGTAAAAAATGAAAGAAGAAACATATAAAAGAAATAAAGTAAGGTAGAATTCAAAATTTATGTAATTGTGTTTTTTGTGCTTATAAATTTCAACAAAATTTTAATTTTTATCTCAGGGTATGTAAGAGTTTTTATTTGTTTATTTGTGAGTGAGTGATAAGTTGCTTAGATAAATATCTGGAGAACGTATTTTCCCTCATAAGTAGTTTCCTTCTACAATTGATAGAAACGTATGATATACTTAGGAAAGATAGGTGTAAGAAAATATTGTTTTCTCTTCAAAAATTTAAGTCTTGTATCGAAATTTCTGTAAGTTTCAAAAGGCACTTTTTATAAATACTTTAAAAAAGACTTATCCTCGTTTACAAAAGGACGCATTTCATAAATTCCTGGAGTTTTAGATTGGTACCACAGATCACTTTTAAATCAATAATAGGTCAAATTTCACTACCTACTTAAAACAAGAATTTTTTTTAATTAAAATTTTATTTCCCTTTCAGTTACTATTTTCTATGTACCAATTATAAATGTTCAACAGATTTTTGCGTCCCACTTATAAATATTCAGCAATAGCAATTTTCTACGTTACTAACAAACTTCGATTTTATTATTTAGTATGTTGGAATTCGTATTCACGTGATTTAAAAATCCATTATAACAATCTAAAGATCATGTCTTTCGATTCATATTTAGGCGTTTCAAAAAACCGAATTTGCAATTTGTATTTTCTCGTTCTTAAATCCAATATCGCGATTCATATTCGCACAATTTAAAACACATAATCGCAATTCATATCCACACGATTTTAAAATACAATATCTCGATTCATATTCCCAAGATTTTAGGACACAATATCGCAATTTTATTTTCGCGGTCTTAAAATACAATATCGCAATTCTTGCAAGAGCTTAGTTTTTTCGTAAATAAGTTACTCTAAAAGTATCATATACTTTATTAGTTGGTAGTTTAATTTTAAATCTTAGGTCAAAAAATTATGTAAAATATGAATATAATATAAATTGATATCTTGTTGCAGAGTTTTTGCAAATAAAATTTTTAGGAGTTTTCACTTTGTGTCCTAATCACCCTTGAACATTGCAAAAGTTGTTATTAGCAAATTTCTTATTATGGCGATGAGACTCAAAAATTACTTTGCAAAATATTGTCGTAAGAGATCTCCTAATGGCTTTCTTTTAAAGAAATAATTGTAAGCCTTATGATAGGAACAAATATATTTAGGGTCAATGAGTTTCTATGGGCGGAATAGTTATTTAAAATTTACTAAAGTTTTATAATAGGAAAACTAGTTTTAAATTCAAAAATAAGAATTTATCTAGTTACCTTTTTGTTTAATTATGCTAGAAATGCTTCAGACACATACATTTCATTTTAAACATTTAGTAAAAAATTATCTCGCTTGGAAATTTCATGAAATCTGTTTGTTGCATTTTTAAATTATCTGTAATAGCTTTTTCTATCATTGTTTATGAATAAAAGTGATGATATATTTTCAGAAAATGGTGATGGTGCTTCATTTGCTGATTTCAGTAGTGCCTTTGGTAATACAGGTAGAGTTTATTTATTCAGTTAACTTAAAATGATTATTTTGGGGTAAATGATTATATGTATATGTTTGGATAAATTAGAGCTTAGAATAGAGAGTTTTAAATATTCATTTGGGACAAAAGTTGCTCAAATCTATTCATAATTACAATTAATGCAAGTTGAGTATGTGAACCATATTAAACTAAACTCAGCTTTATCTGGATGCTTCCTTTCTTTATTATTATATTTTTAACTTTTTATTTCAGTACTATCTCAAAGGCTGTGCATTGGAAATAAATTTATTTAAATGAATCGTAATTTATTTATAATTACAAAGGTCTTATTATCTTGCTTTTCAAAATATGCATTGTTGTTTTAGTTTCCAATTAAGTGTCATAATTTGTATAGTTTTGAAACTTTCCCTTTTTGTAATACAGATAAACTGTGAAGCAATTCAATCCAATGAAAGATTACTTAATATTAATTGATATGTCTAAACTGATGTCCCAATTTAATTTAACTTATGTATAATATAATTTAACTTAACTTACAATTTAATTTAACTATCTTCTGAAAATCCATCAATCACATGGTGTGTAGCGTTTTTAAAAAATGCTTATTTTTGATTTAACGATGATTTTTATTTATATTTTTCCATAGCATATGAAAGCGCCTTTCATTTTACATGGTTGATGAGATACTTGCGAGTCCGCATGTGCATCTAGTGAGCTGGGTTAAATGAGATTATTGCACTCTCATGTGCAACTCTGCTGCATTTTGCAAGATATTCTTAATTTCAGGCTTCATTTTCTACCCCCTGGTATCAAACTGAAAAATCTCTTGTTCATTTTATAATGACTAATATAATCAATAAAAGAGTTGTCAGAAACTAGTTATTTTATCTTGATCATGTAAAGTCTTTAAAAAAATATTTTGAATTTTGTTCATGAATATAGTACTTAAAAATATGTTTCGAGTGCTTATTTTTTGTTGAAAGATTTGGCTACGCTTCCTGAATCAGTTATAGATACAACCAATGCATTTATATTGGGATTGTCCAAAAGGCAACACTTATTTAGTTCCCAATTCAAAATTTTTAATAGCCCAGCATTTTCCACTCATTGCGTTCATGATTTTTGATATGCCAGCAAACCTCCACCATTCCATGTGTGAAAATGCTACTTTAAACAGGGTGTGTAGCGTTTGTAAAAAGTACTTAAAGGTGCTTTTTTGGGGATTTCGTTTTTAAAAGCTTTTAAAGGTGCTTTTTTCAGCTGGCGTTTTTAAAAAGTGCTTTTTTCTGAATAATTTTTTTTCTTCCCTTCAGTGATATCTGGTGGATCACATGCATTTCACGAAAAATGGGGAGTTTGCTACGTAAATGGAGTATTTACGCGGGCTTCATTTCGTACCCACGTTAGGACTTGCGCATGAGCGCACACTTGAAACCGAAACCCGAGTGCTCCAATTCGGATAGAGAATATCAGATCCTTATGAAATGTTTTTCTTTTTAATTTATTTTAATTTTATTCTTGTTTATTTTATTTTACTTCTAACACTTTTTTTGACGTANGTTGCTATTTTTCTGTTAGCCTATTATAAATGAGTCCAAATTCCTGCATTGGGGTGATGGTTACTTATCAAAAACTTATAAGGGTTCATGATGGATTATTAGTTTTTGCAGAGGGATTTTTCTTTTTAAAAGTAAACAAATGTTTTTTTCTAAAAAATTTACATGTAAAATTTGAATCACGCATTTAGATAATCACTTTTTGGCGCGCTCAATTTATGCAGCTAGTATCGTAATTCGATATGATATTTCGATTGTATTTTCTCTTTTGTTAAAGGTTAGGATTTTATGGGCTGTTTTATGATGGTAATAGTTTTCTTTTAAATAGTGAGATGTACCATGTTTGTGTATTATAATACATTTACTTTTAAGAAGCATGTTGGATTTATTTGTAGGTTCTGCAGAATTATCTTCACAGTTGCCTGTGACAAATGCCTCCTCTTCTAATAGCCACAAGAAACCTGCCCCTCCACCTCCTGATCGGTATGCAGCTCTGGCTGATTTGGACAATCAGCTTCATCAACAGGCTGATCCACCAAACACTTCTGCGTCCACTCCCTTTTGGGCAACACCTACAGTGCCTCCTGCTGTATTTGCAACTGGTAATTTTCGGTTAATTTAATTATAGTAAGGGTTTGATGAAGCAACGCAAATTATTATTATTATTAGAAGTAGTAGTAATTGTATTTATTTATTTTGTAAATGTTTTAAAATGTTCATACATGATAATGTAAATAATTTGTTTAAAATTTATTTTAAAACATAATATTTTTTTAAAATAATTTTTAACTTACATTTAAACACCAATGTATTAGTTGAGAAAAATAAATATAGAAGCAAAAGTTATTAGCAAAATCACAAGAAAGTAACCCGGGTAATTCTCAAGTAAATTTTCAGAATAATTTCATGATAATAAGGGTTTGTTGTTGCAACACAAATTATTATTATTAGTAGTAGTAGTAAAAGTATTTTTTTTTTTTTGTAAATTTTTNAAATTTTTTTATATGTTTATAAATAATAATGTAAATAATTTGTTCAAAATTTATTTTAAAATATAATATTATTTTTAAATTATTTTTAACTTACATTTAAACAGCAATTAGTACTTCAAAACTGATAATGTGTTAGTTGAGTGAAAAAAAAATAGAGAAGTAAAAGTTAATCACAAAATCACAAGAAAGTAGTTTAAATGTCAAATAAGGTGGTTTTTGAATGATAAATTAATAAGTATAATAAAATGCAATAAAATTACAAATGAATGAAAATTTTAGTTAACTTCCTTCCTAAACAGGAGATTTACTGAAATGAATATTGCTATGGTCAATGAAATTTCTAAATCGTTCTTTGTGAAAAACATGGGGCAAAAGCTGGCAAACAAATATTTAACAAAAACAAGACTAATTCCATATTACACAATTTGTTTCTCCACACAAATTCTGTTTATTTGAATAAACATATTAATATTGCATAAAATAAAACGAAATAATTTTTCCAGACCTTTTATGCACTTATATTTCCTTATTTGTATTACGTCTTTCAATACCATAGATTGTATATTTTTTGTTTACTTGCATTTCTGTCCTTTCCCTATAACAAGCGCTTATTATTTTTGCAACTTTTGAATAAACTTCCAAAACAAGATGTTTTTCTTAACTATCAAACATGGGAGCAAAATTAGCTGTTATAAGGTGGAGGAAAGAAATTTATTTTTACCCCATTCAGCGATTTGGTTAAAGATTAAAATGATTGTTAACTAAACTATTTCATTTACTATAGCATTTTTTAAGTATGTTTCTTTTTTCTCGAAATTTTTCCAGCAATTAAAACTAGTATAGTTAGCGCAATATAGCTGACACAAGAGCACAATAATTGTGTTTCCTCTTAATATATTGTCTATAATATGTATGAGGAGGAAAACACCAGATTTGAATGACATCCCTGACTTATCCTTTTGTTGGATACCAGACTAAACTTGTCAAATCATGCGAAGTTCGTCGTCAACCCTCTTAGTTTTAATAAACATATTTTCCATATTAAATTTTCTAAAAATAAAAGTATTTTTTTAAAACGGTTAATTTTTTTAAAGGTATTTAAGGACAGATAAAAGATAATTGTTATTAACTCTGGGCATTTGTCCTGGCTTTTTTAAAATTTTACTCTGTAGGTTTTCCTCAATCAGAAAACTTCCTTTCCATGTTATTTTAATGGAAATTTTTGATGCAATTTTCTGCTCAATGCTTTGAGTGTTAAAATTCCAAAAAACTTCTTGTCCATTTTGATTCTGAGATTCATGCCTACCTAATGGATTTGTATCATTTTATTTTTTAATGAAATATCCTAAATTAAGTTATTTTCCACTGGAAATAATACAGGCTTATTAACAGTAAGTATTTTGATGTGTTACAATTTCTTTTTTTAAGATTTTTTACTGATATTTATTGTTATTTCTGTAAGTTTCATTCAAAATTGACTATTTCATAAATTTTCAGAAATGTTACGTAGGAATGTCAGGAGTAAACAGGGTATAAAGATTCATCACTGTTCTTACTGCAACTACTCTACAANTATCGAGGTGCGGCGCTTGTGACGAAGCGGCGCTTTCGCCGAAAAATACGGTATGTTCAGCTGTTCTTTTTATCTCTAAGTTTTTCCAGCTATTAAAATTAGTGTAGTTAGCCTAATGTAGCTTACACAAGAGTGCAGTAATTTTATTTTATAACCGTCGTTGTACAGCTGACCCAATTTTTGGGTTTACGACTACTAATGTTCAACTCCATAGCCTTGTCATTTTGAACCCTATCCAGAAGACAAGGGAACTCCTGGTTCGAGTATTGGGAGAATTGTACATTTGTGGAGGACTTTTTGAGGGAGCTAACCCGCATTTGCCTTACATGGAGAAGAAGACCAGGAGAACCTCCCATTGCTAGTCTGCTGGCAAGGGGACTCTAACCCATGATCCTTCTTCTACTGAGGATATTTCACATCTGCACTGTGGTTGGTGCAAGCCGGATGCAGAATTTGTATCGACTGGGATTTGGACCCAGTTCGTCTCATTGGAAGAAAAACGCTCTATCAAGAGTGCAGTAGTAATTGTGTTTCCTCTTAATATATTGTGTATAATACATGGTCCTTAATAGTCCTTAAAAATATGATCCCTTAAGAGGACTTAATTTTGGTGTAAGGTTTTTAAAAGTCCTTAATTTTTCAGCATCACTATAGTAGTTGATAGGAGTAATTTTTCAGTTCAATTTTTTAAAACAAGAAGTTGCTCTTTTATCTCCTAGAATTAGGCCCTGGATTGATTACCACTAAAACGTAATCTATGGGATATTTAAGAATAATATTTCAGCTATACTATACTATTTCATTTACTATAGCATTATTTGCTTTAAGTATGTTCAGCTGTTCCTTTGGCTCTTTCTCTTAAGTTTTTCTAGCAATTGAAGCGGGTATAGTTAGTCCGATATAGCTCACACAAGAGCACAGTAATTTTGCGTTTTCTCTTAATATATTGTGTACAATATTTACAGGGAAAAAGCAGGGAATTTTTTTCCCGTCCAAATTAGAGTGACGACCCTGTTTGATTCACAACTTTTTTCCCTGCAACCACGACTGGGGCCTCAAATTTCTCACTGCAATTGGACCTATCTCTAATATTAGTAAGCCATGCGCATGCCCATAGAGTCTTCCCTTATTTTGATATATTAGTAGGGTTGAAAATTGATAAGCTTTGCACTTGGTGTTCTCCCATTTCCTACTGTTTTCCCCCTTTTTCCAGAAAGTAAAATGAGTTGGAAAAGATCTATTGTCTGATCAGGTTTCATGTAGTGTGAAGGAAGGTTCTTACGTTGGACTTATTAAAAAAACAAACTTCTCCTGAAAAAGCACTGCTTTTAGGGGAGAGCAGCTTATTTTTACAAATAGGGCAAGAAGGTTGCATTTGTATGGGTCTAAGGGCTGACTGGGTCCACCTTCTAAATATGCTTAAGGAGGCCGGGTTAGCCTGGTTGGTAGGGCACTGGGCCCATGTCCAAGAGTTCGTGGGTTCGATCTCCGTAGGCCGGAGACTCCTCGTGTAGTAAATGGTGACTGATGCACGTGAAATCTGTCTAGTTCATGTTCCATAACAAATCAATGCCTTTGGGGGTACTGATTCAGGAGTATCCTTGTCTTCTGGATTGGTTCAAAATTACAAGGCTACAGAGTTGAACATTAGTAGTTGTAAGCCGAAGATTGGGTCAGCTGTTCAACGGCAGATATAAGATAAAATATACTTAAAGAAAATCTCTGCTTACCTTACAACTAATATTATTAATAATTGGATTAACATTTTTTAAAATTTGACCTATTTCACATTTTTCTTGAAATGACGCCATACTGTGAAAGAAAATTTTCATCTCAAAATCTCTTTCTCCTTCATTATTAATTTAAACGAAAGAAAAAGTAAGTTCAAGCAAACCTAGAATAAGTCATGAAGTTTCAATTGCTGGAGAAAAGAAAAACGAAACAAATTATGTGAAGAGAACTTCACCATTGCAAAATCTTGAGTTATTTTCATTTGTATATTTAAAACTTCCTTTTTAGTATTTGAAACTTCATGACTTACTCTAGGTTTGTCTGAAATCACTTTATTTGCACTCTAAATTTTAAATTAGTAATGAAGGAGAAAGAATTTGTAAGGAAAATTTTCTTCTGCAATGTGGCGTTCTGTTAAACATTGTGAGATGAGAAATATGAAAAATTTTTTTAAACTGCTTTTTCAAATTTCAAAATGCCAAGTTTTTTTTTCGCCTATTAAAAATTTCTTATCCAGGGTTGCCACTCCACAGGGAAAATTTGCTTCTTTTTTTTTCTTTACCAACTGGAAAAATACAGGGAATTTTGTTTGTTAGTTTTTGTCTTTTAAAAAATGGCGACCACTCAAAGCATAATCTATGAGATATTTAACCATGATATTTCAGCTATACAAACCTATTTAATTTACTTTAGCATTATTTAAGTATGTTCAGCTGTTTTTCTAGCAATTAAAACTAATAAATATAGTTAGCCCAATATAGCTCACACAAGAGCACACTAATTATTGTTTCTTAATATATTGTGTATAACGTGTACAGGGAAAGCACAAGGAATTTTTTTTCTCCAGATTTGAGTGGCAACCCTGTTATCAGAAATATCAGTTTTTTGGCCCTCTTTAATCTACAGGTCTGGCCAGGCATTTACGATTTTTAAAAAAATCATACCTGATTAAAATTTTACATGACCCTTACACTCTCATTTCTGTTGCATAGTGTTTGTATTGCTCTTTTATGCAGGTGTTCAGAATCCTTTCCAACCTTGGACGCCACAGAATCCTTTTCAGTTGGTAGCAGGAACAGCAGCAGCAGCACAGCAGCCTTGTAAAACAGCCACAAATGGCTCTGCCAATCCCCCGAGCTTACCCAATGGCAATATTGGAGCTGTTTATTGGCCCCCTTCCTCTTCTTGGGGTGCAGATTCCTTTTCTAGTAAAAATGCAGTCATTGATAATTACAATCCATGGGCTCAGTCATTTGGATCAACAACCAGTGCCAATCCATTCGAGGTATGTATCTTTACCTGATAGCTGTTTAAATGGCCAGTATGGTCTTACCTATTAGAAAATTTATAGGTCAAGATTAAATCTCACGGTGTCACAGATAAAGGTTTCACATAAGTCAAACATGATCAGTTGTTTAAAAATCTTTAATTGTGTGATTTGACTTGTAATTAAATTTAAAACGAGATTGTCGGTATTTGAATGAGGTGATCAGAGACCGAAAATTGTCTAAAGGAAGGATCAAGAACGGGTCAATATTAGGAAAGTTACTCAATTTTAGGGAATTATCTAAAATGTACGAAAACCGAGAGAATTTTGATTAAACCTAGAGTAGAGTTAAATTTTATCAGAGTCAAATTCAGTAGAGTCAAAAGCTATGCTGATATTATGAACTTACTATTTGTGATAGATGAATTTTACTGATATATTTCTTGACCTTGGTTACCAAAATGATCTATTTTCTTTGTTCTAGAATGGAACATCAGTGGGTCAGTCATCTTCTGCACGGAATCCGTTTCTATGATAATGCTCAGGTCGATGATAACTCTTTCTTCTGTGATGCTCAAGTGTTTGTGATCTTTTTATCTTGCTTGCCATTATTATATGCTTTTTTGTAATATTACTTGTTGTTGAGAAGATTCTATTTATGAACAAAGAATGATCTGAAAGTGTGGAATTTTTAAGCTAATATATTTACTATACAATGTGTTCAATGTTCTCGTACCATTCCATCTCCTTTTTTTGTCTCTTTGTCTTTAAAAATAACAACAACAAAAAGTATAATAATAATTTTCAAAATTTTATGTAAATTACTTCAAGCTGGTAGTAGCTGATGGAATTTCACCATAATAAACTACTGGTCTGCGAGTTTTAAATTTAGTATCATTAATATAAAATTATTTTAAAAGAAAGAACAACAAAGGATCTGAAAGTAAGGAATTTTTAAGCTAATATATTTACGATACAATGTGTTCAATGTTGTTTTACCATTCCATCTCTTTTTTCTTCTTTTTTTGTCTTTTTATCTGTAAAAAAAAAAAAAAGAAGATTGTTACGATAATAATAATTCTCAAAATTTTATGTTGATTATAGTGTGGCTTTCAGGAGAACTCCTCCACCCGTCTCGCGTCCTGGCGGGTACTATGGTTACAGAGAAAGATCACTTTGAATAGAGGTGTGGGATAAATAGTTTTGTCTTATAGTGTAGGTCATCCTGAGTAAAACCAATCAACACCTTCTCTCCATCATTTCACCCCCATGAGAAATGTGCTCTTGCTTGCTACTATAGCAGCAGACAGCCCCAGACTTTCAGTCGGGAGGAGTTCTCCTCAAAGCCGCTCTATACTTCAAGCTGGTAGTAGCTGATAGAATTTCACTAAAATAAGCACTACTTATGTGTGAATTTTGAAATTTAGTATCATTAATATAAAATTATTTTAAAAGAAAGATCTGAAAGTGTGGAATTTTTAAGCTAATATATTATATAATGTGCTCAATGTTGTTTTACCATTCCATCTCTATCTTTTTTTTTTTTTATCTTAAAAGAAATAAATTGTAACTATAATAATAGTTTTCAAAACTTTATGTCAATCACTTCAAGCTGGTAGTAGCTAATGGAATTTGACTAAAATAGTCTCTACTGGTCTGCGAATTTTTTAAAATTTAGTGTGATTAATATAAAATTATTTTAAAACATTGTCTTATGTGAGTGTAAGTTCAAAGTGATGAGCTCAGGACTGTATTACCAAAAAAGGAATTTAAAATAATCTTGGTCTGAGAATACAATTTTCCTGCAGTCTTTAATATATTTGCACTCTATAAGTTAATTTGTATTGTTATAAACCAACGAATTTTATTTATGTGAAATATTGAATATATTTGGTGAGAAGCACTTCAAATAATTTTGCTTTTAATCAAAATGAAGTATTTTATTGAATGGCATTAATAATAGTATGAATTTTGATCCTTGACAAAATGAAATTATTTTAAGTATGTTTAGGAAATTTTTACAATTTTATTGTGCATGTTGTTCAGCTTTTGTCATTGTATGAAAAAAAAATCAAAACTTTTGTAATGAACTTTCCTTTTAGATCAATGTGTTTTGATTCATTTATATAATTTGTTTTGTTGTCTTTAAGTTAAAGATGCAACAGACCTCCAAACGCACACATCACATCTACCAATATACTGATAATCCCCAGCTGTCAGATGATATATACTGAAAATTAAGATAAATATATAAAATTTAACACTAAATAAAATGAATAATAATTGTTAACACTAAACATACCAACACTTTATGTATACCTATTTCTACCATAGGCGGTCAAATCACTGAATTTTATGTTTCTTGATTGAATGTACGAAATATAGATGTTAGAAAAGAAATAAGCTAAGCAAAAACTTTATTATAATTAAATAGACTTGTATATTGCCAATTTTTATGTATTACAAACACGAACAAGAGGAACTTTTTTATATCATTGCTCAACGCATTTTTTGCATATACAGGGTGTTACCATTGTGCATTTTTCGCAAGCATATTTCTTCTATTTATTATTATTTCTATAATTCTTATAACTATAAGAATATGTAAAAATTATAATTCTTATAATTAATAGTATTTCTTCTAAGAACGTGTACTGTCTTGATTGTTTTGACATTTTTATGGGTAAAAACTAACAGTTAATTAGAAATGAAGTAAAGTTATCAAAATAAAATATAAGCTACTTACCAAAACATTTAGTTTTTGTCACTTTTCTGCAGCAAAAATGTCAATCTAAAATTTTAGGTACTTTCTTGAAATTTGAATTCACAATTATTCTGATTGAACTTACTATGCAACAGTCTTTGCAGAAATATGCAACTCATCGAATGGAGTGCGTTGAACACGTATTTCATCGTCATTTCTGATCTGATAACCTTATAAGGCAATAAATTGTTCGCCAGGTAAATGAATAGGTATACGGTAGGAATAGGTATACGGCAAGTATTATTCGAAGCAAACAAAATACAAAAAAATATAATAGTAGAACACTAACTGTATATAATTGTTAGAAAAAATCATGATGTCAAATGTGCAAAAACGATATAACTGCATTTTTGATGCAAAAGTTCTTTAACGGTCATTTGACCAGTTATGGTATGTTTAGTGTTAAATTTGTATTTCTCAGATATTTCTATCATCTTAGAATAACAAAATTAAGCAATTTTCCTGATTGGATAGTTATGATGCAAAAAATAACAATTGTTCAGCCTTCTTTGGCGATATTGAGTCACTCTTCGACTCCGAGAACAATTGCTCACTGTTGTCAATATTTTTTTCCTATTAATTAAAAAAGCTATCCATTAGAAGATCAGTTAAAAAGCTCTTTAATTTTTCTTAGTATGCAATTAAAATTAAACTGCAACTGAACTATGCAATTACAATTATTATTCTAAATCTCGTAATAAATATATTTTAACGATGAAACAATTAATTGATGAATAATATCAATTGGAGGTACAGTCAAACCCCATATAATGAACCTTCAAGGGACCGAAAGGTTGGTTCACTATAACCGTATTGCTCCCTTTTAGTTCACATTATTAAAATAAATGACCAATTTAAAAAAATACAAAAATGATAAAACAATATATAGTAACAAAAAATGTGTTAACTTTTATTTTTTTATTTTATTCCTCTTGCATACAAGAAATTTAGGGATGTGAAATTTAGATAAAAGAAGCAAACAAGAAAAATGCTTATGGCTACATTCCACCCAATAGATGGTTTTAAAAGTTGATATATTTATTTTATGTAAAAATCACCAATATCCTCTCTTTTGGTTCACTAAATATCCACAAGAAATAATATTTGTGTATAGCAAGGCACGGGAGCAAACATTTCGTTCACTATATCCGGGAGATCACTATAAACCGTGTTCACTATAGCGGGGTTTGACTGTATATAAAATCACAGAAAGAGAAAAGAATGCATTCACTGTATACATCTCTTTTGATTTTCATTATGAACGAAACATTCATGTGTATTTTTTGAGGTGCTGTTCATTTATTAGAGTTCATATTTTTATAAAACTAATTTTTGATGGTGACATGTTTCTATTGAGCATAAACAAGTGACTTAACACACATTCTTTAAAAAAAAAGAGTGCCAAATTGTTATATCAACGAATTCATTGTGCCTATCTTAAATTAATAGCAATTCTTTTTTATTCAAATGATCGAAACAGGTGTTGTAAAGTCATGGTGCGTAGCGTTTTTAAAAAGTGCTGGAAGGTGTTAATTTTCTTTTTTTAAAAGCCCTTAAAGGTGCTTTTTTTCGTTAGGTGTTTTAAAAAGTGCTTAATTTTCTCTTTTCAAAAATTTTTTGAGATTTTTTTCGTTACCGTGTCAATTTTCGCCACGTATTATGCAAAAGCATGCTTTTCACGTTGTTCTATTCAATGTTTTCACAATTCATTCGACCACAATCTACTTCGGCGTATATGGTCCATAGTGTATGAAAGTGCCAAACATTTTCTGAGTTTGATGAAGTACATGGGAGTTTACATGTGCGTCTACTTAGTTGGGTTCTGTGAGATTATTGCTCTCTTATGTGCAACTTTGCTGCATTTTGCAAGATATTCTCCATTTCAGGCTTCATTTTCCACCTTCTGATATCCAAACGAAAAATCTCTTGTTTATTTTATAATGGCTAATATAATCGGGAAAAGAGTTTTTTGTCAGAAACTAGTTATTTTATCATGACCATGTAAAGTCTTTTAATATTATTTTGCATTTTGTTATTGTATATAGTGTTTAAAAATGTTTTTTGAGTGCTTAAAAGGTGCTTATTTTTTGTGCTAAAGGTGCTTATGATTTGGCTACGCACCCTGACAGTGTATTGCAGGTTTTACTGAAATGAAATGATGACTATGGAATTTTAGTTTAACATGGAACTGTCAAAGTAACTGTACTTTTTGTACCTAAGAATGAAAATATTCCGTTTTCCTAATGGATAAACAACTGTGAAAAATTGGAGAAAAAAAATTCGTAAAAGACATAGAAACAAAAGTTTTTTTCATTTTCCAACAACTTTAAGCATTTATTGTGTAAAACTGGATAAGTTAAAATCTTATGTAGATATATATTTTATTCATTTGCATTTCATATGAACAAACATTTAAATTTAAAACAGAAAGTATTACTATTTTTCCTTAAATATTTACTATACTTAACAATAATTATGTAGTTTAAATTCGCATATAATAATGGAGAAGAGATGAATTAGTGAACAAAGTGCAAAAAAAAAAGAAAATCACGTTAAAAAACTTTTTCGTTTTAATGATACATTTTCCTGTACCAGGACTCAAACTTAATAGTTCTCAAATTAGCTAATTAATTTGTGCAAACGATATTTTAAGTTACAAAATCTGGCATCTACTTTCTTTGAATAAACATACTTTTTTTCAAGGGATGTACCCACAATCGAATTTAAATGAATGACTTTTTCGAAATTTGATTTCTCAGAAACTATTCGAATAATTTTGCTCAAATTTTGTATTCAGCTATTTAAAGTTACATTCTTTAAATTAATGAAAAAATTATTTGCCTTGCAATTAAAATTTTATTTTGGATTATTATTAAATGAATTATCCCCATGGCAGAATCACGGCGACATTGTCACAGAACATTACGGAGTTCTTGCAGAAAAGATTTTTCCTTTGAAAAGTAAAAAAAGAAACAAATTCTACGGAAATTCACATGTAATATTTGAATCATGCATTTAGAGAATTACTTTTTGACACGCTCAATTTACCCCGATAGTATCGTAAATCGATGTAATGTTTCAATAGTACTTTTGGCAGTTATTGATAGTGATTTTCGCGTGGATTATATTTTTTAATATATTTCAAACAATGTGGACATTTTGAATCCTGAATTTCAGTATTTACTTTTTAATGCACTAATTCTATAGAATTTCTTGGCAGTTATTTACTATTAGTTTTTAAATCTGTTATTTTTTATATCATATTATTTATTACAACAACCTAATCTCGAAACGAAACACACGTTTGAGGAGTTGATCTTTTTTTCGGCAATGACTACTATACATTTCATTTTTTTATTTTTTTTTATTGCATGTATTTTATATCGTATTCACACCTTTTATCTGATTTAATTCATGCCTTTTGCCTGATTTTATTCATGCCTTTTACCTGATTTTATTCATACCTTTTATCTGATTCTATTTGCAAACCTATACCATTTTATCAGTTATAATTGTACGACAAATAAAGTGGTGCATGTACTTTGCTTTTTTACCATACTGTGTGGCGGCGCATGTCCTCTTTTGGACTTTGTGCCACTAAACCCTACATTCAATTCAATTCCCTCAACAAAATGCGAGAATATCACCCATAATATTGGAATAAAAAATTATTACATTGTTCAATTAAAAAAAATTTTGTAATTTTTCTTTTGTAAGCATAGCGCTTTTGTTATTTTGAATGAATAGCATATATATTTGTTATTATTGAAAGTATCTTGCAGAAAGATATTAGTGATAGAGGATTTTGTCGCAGATAGTTCAAAAAAATTCTGCTACAGGGATGATTATTACAAATTATTTTCATGGAATGATCTTTGGCTAAATAAATTTCATAATTGTGTGCAAAAATGTTTAAATTCCTTAAGAGTTCTCGAGTTGATGCGAAAAGTGCAAAAAGTTAAATAAACATTAAGCGTTCCAAACTCCGGACTAAATTAGTGGGACCCTATGTTCCAGATTGCAGCTATATTTTAAGGGCGAAAAAGTGTATGTTTATTCATACTTTCGAACCTTTATGATTGAGTCCTAGACTGTGAAGATCCGATCATTTGATAAAAAGTTTTTCTGTGTGTTTTTTTTTTCCGCACTGTACATGCTTATGCTTAACATTACTACTTGAGATTTTATATTTCTACGTTATTAATTAAAATATGTTTGTCTACTTTTAATTAAAAGCAGTCCTATTGTGCCTGCATTGTTTTCTGTAAATAGCTTTAAAATGTATGTTTTATAATGAAAGTTCATTGTAGATCTTCCTCCAGTAAGAAATGCTTGACACTATG